TCCCCCCCAACATTTTTTTACCTTTTCTTGTTTTTCGTAGAGGATGATTGGAGCTCCTCGTAATTGAGGTATTCATACATGTAATGATACAGAGCATTTGATGATTTAACCATCACCACATGTGAAGCATCCATCAATGAATTAACAATCACGTTAAGATGATTGATAGTAATTCTTATCATTACAAGGATAGACTTTTGAAGGTGGTCATGATGAAGAAATCCATGTGATTCAAGATCTAGTGGATCATTTTACTTTTGAGAGGATGGCATTATTCATGCTGCATTATCAAGAAATAAAGGAAAGAGGGTAGGGAGCAATGGGTCCTCGATGAATGATGAAAGATGAAAATCAGACAAATGCCATCCAACAGGGGGAAAAGGAACGCCCCCAATCGGCTCACCTCAGTCTGGTTAACAATCTTACAAGATGGTTGGATTGATGTTATATTACGTACATCACAACCATCAGACTAAAAGGGATCCTTGTAATTGTTGCCGTCAAATGCAACTACCTTGGCATGTTTGCAGGAAAGAAACTGCACAAAATTAAATGGTAGTAATTGTTTACAAGCAACCATTTAACTTTCCGAAATGCAGTTCTTTCTTTTTTTAGTTCTTTTTCACCATTTGTGTATAAAAAAAAAAAAGAAATTGTGAGAGTTAATTTCGGATAAGTTTCGGTTTAAAACACAGACTTAAATATACTTGATTCGTTAATAAGTTTTGGATTAAGAAATAGAGTTAAATAAATTGATCCATTTCATTAAAAGTAATATTGTTTAAATTTTAATTCTCTTACTTAAAAATAGATAAAAATATGAAGAAGTCTGTTATTAGAAAGTCATGAAGCTCATTTAAAAAGACTAAAAAAAAAACTAGAGAAAAAACGTTAAAGTTGCAGATAGCATTGCTTGAAGCAAAACTTTACTTTTTTGGTTATTAGATAGCAAAAGAAAAAGGAAACTAAAAGAAATAAAGATAAACAAGATCGATGACTTAGGATGCTTCAATTATTAGCGTTAAACAATTTGGGTTGTAGCGATCTTATATTCTGTCCAATAATCATTTACTTCCAAAATCCAGGCCCTGTTGTCAGTTGATGTCACAAATAGCAAAATCATAGGCAAGTGAAAATGGGAAGCAACGCGGAAGCAGCGACCTTCCCCTCTACCTACAGGGTGTCACCTTATAACTATGATGATGAAAGTGCGTCTATATTTTCATGAGAAATCCAAGAAAAAGACGGCAGTCTCAATCACTCATTACCTTTACCCACCCTTTTTCTTCAGTTGCTGCAACTGCAATGCACATTTTCCAAGTCCCATTGTACCCCCTTTTTAGCTGAAAGAGATAGTTTCTGATCCATATAGTTGGCTTTGGTCCGGTTGTTTTTGCAGTGGTCATTCTTTTATTCTTTTGTGTGTTCAGTTTTTGAAGATGGCGATGGTGCTGGCAATGGTGGTTGATGGCTTGGGATTGCTTGTTAGGACGCTCTGGGGTCTGCAAGAGAGGCGGTTCTCTGCAACTCTTGATGCTGTGAGTTCAGCTGCTGTTTCCATCACCATGGCCCTTGTGGTCTGCTTCTTGTCCGTTCATGGGCATGCAAGACCAGAGATTGGTCTTGCCTTCATTTAATATTTTAATCCTTTTTTCTTCTTCCATTCTTGTCCACATCTATCGGTTATTTAAGCACATTTTGTCTTATAGTTCTGTTTCTTGCTGCAATTTGCGTTTCTTACTGATCAACAAGAATATATATATATACACACATACATGGTATATATCAATATATATGGTTTTCTCTGTATTAGCATTTTGTCCTTTTAGACAAATAATTTTGTGAGTTTTAGCAAAGTCATAGATGCTTGTATTCATTTACAAGCTGCAGTGTACATATGTTAGACGTCTACTATTGCTTGTATTTAAATGAGAATTTTCCAAGCAATGAGAAATATACCAGTTCTCTTTGCAATTTAAGATCAGAAAAGGGGATCAATTTGCAGAAATTCCTGATGCGAAACACTTATGGTTAGCCTGATTGGCAAGTGGATATATTTCTAGTTATTTTGTTTGGTTTCATCAAATCTGTAGACCGACTACTACATTGGGTTAAAAGCAATTCACCTAGTGTATTTGCTTGTCAAAAATTAGTAGTTTCTCTAAATAACATGAAGCCGATTTCGACCAAGTTCCCTTGGGGATAGGCAAGAGTGATCAGATATCAGAGATGAGGCTGGATTTGACAATGAATTCTCTTCAGGGCTTTGAATCTCATAGGTGAGCCAGTCAACATGATTGAAACTTTATATTATATCCTCAATTTAAAAGAAAATGACTAGATAATTGTTTATTATACATATAGTATGTATGAGTGTATGTATGTATGTATGACTATAGAGATCAGCTCCCATTTCATTTTCAAATTCATATACTCAGGAGATATTTTCACTTGTTTACTTCAATTATGGCCATTTGTTCATATCTTAATATTTCAGCAAATGATGGTGGATTATTGCTGTCAAAATCCCACTTGACGGCCATATATGATCACCATCTTTTCCTTCACTCTAATTTGGATGAAGGGTCCCTCTCAGATTCTGATATGAAGATTCCTTATACGAGTCTTGAAAGTGGATTAAGCTTTGTTGCAAATGCAAATCTCAGCCTCCGATGAAACATTTCCTTCCGGGACTCATTGGCTAAGAATAATCGGGACAGAATCTTGCACCTTTAACACAACTGGAATCTCTCTGATTATCTAGGGTAACGATTTTGGCATTGCCTGATTAGGGAACATTATGGTGAATGAGTTAGCCGGGGAAAATTCCTGGTTGATGCACCCAAAATCTGGAGAGCGAGGAAAAACCCGTACGAGTTTAACGGTATCTTGCAGTGAAAACAGAGACCTTCCATTTTTAATTTGAAATTTAATAGTATCATTGGCATGCCCGAGGGCAACAACCCACTTGTCTGGGGCGATTTTAGGTCTATGAATTTCGATGTGAAACACATTTGCATAAAATCTTTCACACTGAAATACAAAAGTGACCAAGCTCTGTTACACAAAACCTCACAGCACAAGTTTGCTCTACATTTCCAGGATCCCTCCTATATCTGATCAGAATACTTACAGCAACAATAACCCACAAAATTTACAAACCCAGGTCCCCACCCTAAAATGCAAGACAGCACAGCCAATCACATCAAACAACATCAACACAGAATTGACCCTTTCTCGTTCAGTACAGATTGAAAGACACAAGCAAAATGACAGGGTAGGAAAACTTGGCCTTCCTTTTAAAAGCAATCATCACAATGCTATATGATACAAGCACATACATGATACACCAACAGCCAAACACCTTCGGTCCATCTTTAGTTTTTGACTAACTAAAGCCAATTATGCACAACTTGGCTTCAACAAGGCTTAACAAAGGACACTCTAATTAATCAAGCGATTAATTATCTATTACAAGATATAAACTACAGAAACAGGAAACAAGAAGTTTCCTTGATGCCAGAAACAAACAATAGATAGAGGAAACAGAAAGTCTCCTCGATGAAGGAAACGAGAAATTTCCTTAGAAAAGAATCAATTTTCATTGATTCAGAACACTATATTACAGGTGATTACTGTACCCAGGAATTGCAGGGCTTCTCTCCTCTTAGGCCTGCAGGAACCCCTTCTCCTCCAGGAATGATATCACAGTTTCAGCCATTTCACATGGGGAAGCATAGTTGTTTCCCTTTTGTGGTAATACTAACTGCAAAACCAGAAAGTTGATGCTTCAATCTGAATGTTGGCATATGAGATTTAGAGAAAAATCAAAGGGAGAGCATGGCAATTTTGAATATGTGGCAATTCCACAGTCATCCAAATTAGTCTAAAATACAGCTTTGACATGTTCAGATTGAGATGACTAGACATGTGCCAACCAATATCAGATACTTGCAGCATGACAGAACATCTATCATGTTCTCATATGCATATAGCCAAAGCCATCCACAAGCACACTAGCAACTAAGCTTGGAAATGCTTGAAACCATTTCAAGATTTGTGTCAGCTGGAATTTCATGTTTGAAGCATAAAAAATATGTAGTTGCATCTCCACTTTTTGCAAAAGTATGAGCCTATGCCAAACAAGAATGATATTTCTCCAAGGATACTCATACCTCACAATTCAGAGGTGGTTCGTATGGGTCATCAATACCGGTAAAACCTACAAAGAAAATATTATATAAGCTACTCTTCAAATGTGAGCTTATACCAATCTTCAGATACAAAATCCAGGACAGATACCTTTTATTTTTCCAGCTCTTGCAAGCTTGTACAGGCCCTTTGGGTCCCTAGACTCACATATTTGGAGTGGCACATCCATGAACACCTGTCAAAAGGTTGGCTAGTCAATTCTTCTTAGAGCAATAAAGAATCTTTATGTGATGCAAAAGCCCTTTACCTTTAGCAGGAACCATTAATAAGATCAAAGCCCTTGGGATTTTTCAGGTTCCTGAAAGGTAACACATACCTCAATAAAATCTCCTTCTGGCAACAGCGTGCGGCATGCATCCCTGTCTCTTCTGTAGGGAGATATCACACTGGCAATGCAGATGAGGCCAGCATCTGCAAAGAGCTTTGCTACCTCTCCTGTGTAAATATAAGAAGTTGATAGTTGAAAGCATGAGTAGAAGAGAATGGAAGGATAAAGCCGAAAAGGACTATGATGAGGAATCAAACAGCATTTACCAATCCTTCGTATGTTTTCTGCACGATCTTCTGCTTTAAAACTTAGGTCACGGTTTAAACCATGTCGAACGTTGTCACCATCAAGGATGTAAGTCAACTTTCCCCTCGAATACAAGGCTTGGCACAGAGCGCATGCCAAAGTGCTCTTTCCTAAATTCATAGACCACAGTGAGAGAAAGGGAGTAAAAGGGAGCAACATGATGCGATAAAGGTCTGAAGTTTGAACACAATCTTCAGTTTAGCAAGGCGAAACTAAAAAAGAACAGGAACAAAGAATCAGGTGTAGTCAAAGGGAAGGCACTCAATGATATCTGAAAAGTCAGCCATGTTGCCATAAGTTCTTGATTTTGAACAGAAAGTCTATCATCAACTCTTGCTTTAAATTTAAAAGTTCCTCCAAAAACCACAAGACCAAATGGTTCAATTTTTGGCTTTTTTTTAACACAAAAACAAGATTACTAAAACTCGTTGTAAGCTCAAGAAGCCATCATATATGCTCATGAAAACCAGAAAACAAGAATAAGTTATTGGCAATAAAAGATAAGCATTGATTTCAGTATCCACATAATTTGCTTTGACAAACCTGAGCCACTGAGACCAGTAATCCATATGACACAACCCTTTTGCTGAAGCAGCTCTTGCCGATGAAGTTTACCAACAGAACTTTTGTGCCATACAATGTTCGTTGCCTTTCCATTAGTAGCCATCTGGCGGAGATTTTGACCTAGTTAGACGTTTGAAATCAGAATCCTAAGTAGATCCAGCTGTAAAGAAACCATGTACTAAAGAAATCATGACTTTGCACAGCCATCATTGTCACTAACTAATTCCATGGAATGGCCAGAGTTTTCATACCAACATTACAGAGCAATGTCTCCCGAAATGAGAAAGTCATTTGCCAAAAAAGATCAGCATCGACAGAAACTAAAATAATAAAAAGTCCTATCTGAAAGGCTGATGCTTAATGTGTTCAATTGAGTTATGATCGGTACTGTCATTACCAAATCAAGAAGCCACTATTTATTTTATCATTTACTTACTTTTTTTGAAAAATATTTATAGATGAAGTGTTGTGATTGCTCTCTAAAGCTCCATCTCACTCTGGAATGTGATTTTGCACCCCAACCATTTCATAAAATTTGTGAGTTTCTCCCAGGCTGAAAATCGGTTATGCTTTCAAGGCCAACTTGTCAGCTTTGATTGAAGATAAATATAGAGTGGAAAAGTGGCGATTTCAAGGCTGGAACTCCATAAAGAACACCATCAAGGACAAAAATTCTGGTGATAGGGCCAGCATAGCCTAAAGTTAGGCACACCCCACAAATCCTTCCTCCCAACTTGAATATACAACAATTTGGCGATAACAATTAAAAGGGACCAGCTTATTCCCAGCAACATAGGACATTCTTCAGACCATGATAGTCTAGGTAGGGGTTAGCTCGTCCTTTTCCATAGTAAGTGATGTTCGATTAAACTCCATAATATAAGCCCCTCGTTAAGGCAAGGAAACTACACATCTATCCATACCATGGGGTTAAGCAATCCATCTACTCCACCCCAGACTATAATCACCAAAGTAAATTAGTCTAGGAAGGAGAGGAATGGAACTATTTCTCATGGAAAACGACGGTTTTAAAAAAAGATTGTAGCCCCAGCCTAAAGACTAGAACCAGAAACAATTAGAGCAGAGTCAAAAATGCTAATACCCAAATAAGCTGAAAGAAACTCCAAAAGTCAACCTAATTAGCCCTTCCCCCTCCCTACCAAAATATGAAAGAAAAAATGAAGTACTCCGAATTAAATGGCCAAATACATATGACATGTTAAAACTTAAAACCAAATCCCAGCCAGCAGAATATTCCACATTAGGCTGTACCCAAAAGCGGCAGTCTTTTTTAAGACCTCCTCATAAAAATTGTGCTAGAAACAACTTCTTTTGGAAAAAAAAAAAAAAGGTGAAAAAACCAAAGATTTCATTTTTAAAAAAATTTTCTTTTATCAAAATTAACTCCAGCCATGAGGTTTAAAAAACAAAAAGCACCTAAATACAAAATGCTTGACCAGAAAAGAAAATTAAATACATGATCACCAATGAAAGTAAAAAGAAAATGGAAATTTAAAAAAAAAGAAAGAGGTACCAGAAATAACAGCACCACGATCATTTGCAACCGACACGGCCGATTCCTCCGTCGCCTGAACCAAGCTCAACCTCGCATTGTTGCCGACATGCAATCCCAAAGAAGAAGACTGCGCCGGCAACGGCAACGGCAACTTCACGAAGCCAACCTTAGGAAGCGGTACGGATGGGCCACTCTCTAAACCGGAAGAAGAACAAGAAATCGCTGGCCGTACCGCCCTGAGTGACACCATCTTAATTAAAATAGAAATGAAAAGAAACAGAAAAAACATGCAATGATTGAAAGAGATGGAGAGCGCGAGGCGAGGTTAACGGCGAAGCAGGAAACAAGAATAGAATTACAAAATGACTTGATTATATACAGTGAGATCGATGGAAAGCTGACGTGGGATGAGCTTAGTTGGGAGGGAGCGGCTGGTTTGTCGTATTTTCCTTTTTTTCATGATCGAAATTGATTTCACCTCTAATTCCAACACTTTTACGAAAATACTGAGTGAGGGACAGGTGGACGATGGCAATTGGAATGCAGAGTGGGACTGCCGTTCTATAAGGTTGGTTTTGTTGTGCGGTCCACGCGCCTTTATTGAGCGTGGGGTTGTGTTAGTAAGTTCATTGGAGGATCTCCCCCACGTGACAATTTTGCTGACGCCTGGTGCAAGGATAAATGTTTACTACAAGTTTTTTTTTAAGAAGCAATAATCTGAAAATTATTTTATTTTTGGATAATCACTTTGGATAAAAACTATAAGATAAACAACTGTAACAATTGCATGTTGATTCGTGTTCAAGGATGCTTGTTAAGAACTTAAGACATATGTAGGATTATTTATTTTGAATAAAAATTGTTAACAGAAATTTAATGATAAATACAAAAATTATAATAATACTATTAAATTTTAGGTGAAAAGACTTTAAAAATTATTCTTGTTCCTAATCTATGTGCTTGCTTGCAACTTTGCATTTACATTTATCTATTTAACTTAATATGATTGTAAATGTTGGGATAAAATATTCTCATTTTTTATTTTTTAATTATAATTTTACACGTATTTATTAATTTTTAAAATAAATAATTTACTTTAAAAATGTAAATATTGTTAACAAAAAAATGAAATAACTAAAATGTATTTTTTCTTTTTTTAATTTTTTTTTCTCTCAAATAATCTGATCATCCAGTGTGCTCTCCAAGGTGCTCCCTAAGGGAGGGAAGTACCCTTGACGCTGATCTTGATTTTTTTTTTTTTGTAAACAAAATTTATAATAATAATTTTTAAAATTAACAAAATATAATTTTTTTTAATATTATCATGTTATCAATTTAATAGAAACACTAACGATTAATTAATCACTGATTTATGTGTCAAACAAAAGATAATTTTTTAAAATAAAGTATACATTTCAAAAACTAATAAATTTATTTAAAATTTTGATTAAAAGTTAAGAAGCTTAGATATTTTACTTTAAATGTTTCTGTAATCAAATAAGATAGGTAAAAAAAAAAAAACCTCTCCTTATGAAGCATTTGAAATTTAAGTTCATAAATCTGTTTAAGAACTTATTAAAATTAGAAACTATTAAACTATAATATATTTAAAATTTAAATCTTTTATATAAATAATAGGGTTAATATTTTTTTTTTTTAAGTTGCAATTTGCAAGCAAGTCAAGGATACAAACATCTAGAGTACAATAAATCAAATAAACTTTTTGTTAGTTTTCCATTCTTCTGATAAGGGTTTGATGTGACAAGTTTTTATTATCTTATGGTGTCTATATATAATATATAGGTTTCAATTATTGTAACATAATAATACGAAGCTTTTAATTCAAAAGTTATGACAATGCATTTAATATTTTAATAGTAAATCCTAAAAATTATCCCTTATTCTATTAAACGGTAGAGAAATCTATAGCCCTTTTTTTTTTTTTAAGGGGAACCACTTTGCAAAGTTTTCAACAATCGTGTTCCCTAGGTTACATAAGAACCCACCACAACAGCATTATTAAAGCCAGGCAATGGAAGCCAGCCACATATTCAAGACGGTAGCTTATTATAAACTAATTTAAGTACTTAACCTTTTTGTGTATTGAATTTTTTTCGACCAAGAAAAAAAATATATTCCCTATTACATGCTTGGAAATCTATTAATCTAAATCCTTTTATGTGCCCCTAAAAGAATGATAACATTTTCCTATTAAAGGTTTTTTTTTTAAGATTTTGAGTTTTTTTATTCAAATGTAAACTAAATTACTACTAAAATTCTGGTATTGCCTAATACTATCTACAATTATAACAAGTATAAAGCAAACTTTGATCTGATTGATGTATTATTACATCCGAGAAATAATTATAATTAACAAAGACTCGACAAAAAATTATATTATAAATTAATTTGACATAATTAACTTATAGAACAAATAAAATGGGATGTCAATGGCATGTATCAATTTCAAAGACAAAGAACGCTTGCAAAATTTTAAAACTTGAAAAGTTTGGTAAATTAATTAAATGAGACTAGGTCAATTGGATCAAACCTAATAAAATATATCAAAATACTATACCACTATAAATAGCACAAAAAAAAAAGAGTACTATAGATTTTTTTTTCTTATGAAATGTACTAATATTTTTTCCCAAAAAAAAAAGGTATGGGTAATGACATGCATGATAACTCTTACCCAAAACTAACTCAAAAACGTTCAATGAAGTTTGAATGGCAAATTAATACTCTTCGTTCTTCACAATAAGAAATTCATTTTTGCGTTAATGAAGACCCGACATTTGGTACAAACCAGTTGATCGATAGATTAATTGTTGGGCCATGTGATTTTGTGGTCGGAAATTTATCCTAAGTTTTAGGGCGTGAATTTTTTTTTCTTACTTTTCTTCCCCTTTTTGAAAGAATAATTAACTTCAAAACTTTGCCCGTACACTTAGTTTATTTGTTCACATCTTTAAGTAATCGAATTTTTTAAATTATTTTTTCTCATAATCAAATATTAAAAGTCGAAAAAGCATTTTAACTTGTAATTAATGGCATTATAATTTAAAAATATTTATTAAAAAATAACCTCATGCTTATAGGGTCGAAGCGGAGGGATGGGGCTTGTAGGGCCAGGTTTGAATAAGCAAGTCTAAAGCGAATTAAAAGGAATAAAACTTATATTTTCCAGCATAGAAAAATAAAATACCTAGATACTAATTGCTTGATGATAATCTTAAAGTATTTCTAATGCAAGTAATTTAAATAAGAAAAATTCCGTGTCCAATAGAATTCTTAGTGCTTTAAACCTAGCAACTTTATTTCAAAGAGTTCCGACCCCAATAAATCTCCCCAGTTCGTGTGGCCCTAAAGCAGTCCGAGCGCTGCTCTTGATATGGCCCGTGTTGTGATTTTCACGACAATTAATCAATAACTAATTTTTAATGGATTTAAAAACTAAAGTAATATTAATTTTAATTGAATTATTTCCCAAGACCCCACAACGACCTGCCTTTTGTTTTGTTTTCTTTTTACTAAATGGAAACGAAAAGGTCATTTTTGTTTCCCTACACACTTTTTTGCGTGCCATGTGCATTCTTTAAGTAGAAAAGCTTTAGTAAGTAATTTATTGGGAACGGAACTCGTAATATCATATAATTTTTTTAAAAAATTGGTAATTATTTTTATTAAAATTTATTTCAAAAATTTTGATATTAACTTAATGATAAATACTTTTAATTATATAAAAAATTATTGAATTCAATTAAAAATACTCAATCATAACATATAATAGTTATTAAAAAATATCTTTATTTTATATGTAATTCGTAATTAAAGTTATTGTTATAATTTTTACATAAATTTTTTTAATCTAATTTACTTTATACTTTTATTAAACACTAAATTTTTATTATAATTTTTATAAATACTGTTTTAGTCTCAAATTGTGAAATTGCGACTCCACCACTGTTATAGAAGAATTACATCTTACTAAAACGTGTAAAGTAAAAAACTAATATGCACTGTTTTACACAAAATTTTTTAGATTTCTTAGTAAAATCATGTAAGGTAATGTGTTACACAAAAATTTTAAGAACTAATTAGGAGATTATAATAAACAACTTAACAATTTTAATTCATATAAGCAAATCTCATTCCCATCTAAATCTTATAAAAAATTAAAAAAGCAAAGACAGAATGGATAAAAAAAAAAGTATAGTAATCATCCCCACTGACCAAGGGCCCGGCCTCTGCAGCGTTAACGATTTGATGTCGGAAAAGTAGCTAAAACGTGGTAGGTTTCGCCTTGGATCGTTGTCACACAGCCGCACTCAGTGTACTGAAGGAAGCACTAATTCGATTTAGTTACTTTACCTGTGCATGTATCAACATCTCATATTTTCAGCTTTTTTTTTTTTTTTAATTCTTCTTGCAACCTTTTTTGCTCATTGGGAACTTGTTTGGTTTCCACTGACACCAAAGACCACCTCCATGCTAAAGCCACACACGCATAAGAAAAAACAATTATTTATTTGGAGTGCGCGCGCATTTTGTGTCGTCGCATTTTATAGATTTATTTATTTATTTTTCTTCGATATAAGTTTGTGAGATTCCGATATACTTAGGACCTACCCAAAATATGTGGTCCAATGTGAAAGGCAATTTATTTTCCAGGATTATTAATTGCTTTTATTATATACATATATGTAAAAAAAATAAATTTTTAATTTTTAATTTTTTTGAGAAAAAATAATTATATTTTAAATCAAATATTCAAGTGCTGATTTCAAGATTGTTAAATAAAAAATTGTAATGCTTATTAATACTTAAAAAAAAAATACAGCTTTCTAGGTCAGTCGGCACCAATAAACTACCCAAGATTTCGAGATCTTTTATGACAGCAAACGAGATCTTATACTTCGAGAGTTGATTGTTCACGTTTAGAGCAAGGAAGAGCATTTGTTCCACGTGATCCTCAACCAAAACCATATTTAAAATATATATATGAAAAAACAATAAGTTTGACCAAGTTATTGTGCATGTTGATAATAATATAATCATGATCGGTGAAAATTAATAGACATAAAAATTTTAATTTAAGTTAATAAAGAATTGAACTCAATTATAAATAAATTTGAAATTCAAATCTTCTCGTTAGTCTCTTTACGATATCTAATGTGACACGTTCATTACTCCGGATTTGCTACGGTGGAAACGAGTGGATAAAATGAGTGCACGTAGTGACTCGTTCTAGGTTATGGCCCAGGGGCCATGACGGGATGTTTGCTCAATATATCGACTATCGACAGACTTGACAGTCTCTGCATTTGACAAAACTTCCGCATACAGTCTTTGTTTCCGCAGTCGATGGTTACTATGACTCTTCCTTCTGGCGGTCGATGGGCACTATTTCGAAAATGAAATAGCTTTACTATTTCGCAAATTAGTAGTAGTAGTACAATTATATGCATGAAAAATTAAAAGAAGTTGTATAAAAAGGGTACATCGAGATGCATACACCCATTGACCATTGAAAATCATGAAAAATCACTGCCTGTCCATTTTAAGTAAAAAAAAAAATTGTACTAAAGTAGTAAAAGCTTTTCATTTTTTTTTGAAAATTTAGTAAAAGCTTTTCATAAGTGAATGTTTTAACGTTTTAATGAATAAAATTTGAAAATTACATCAAGTTTAATTAAATAAATCTTGAAAGAGAGAAAAGCCTAACTCAAATGGATTTTATGGATGCAAAAGAAAGAAAATAAAACAATATTAACTTTATTCATTCTTTGCAATTTGGAATTTGAAAATTTCTTGTTTGAATCTTGAAAAGGAAAGTAAAATTTCCTTATTGATTTTTGAGATAATTATATATGAAATTTTATTCCGTGTTATAAGTCTCCACATTTTCACATCAAGTACTTCATTTTTTGTTAATACTACAACTTTTATTAGTTACATGAATCAAACTTAATTATCCTCCAAGAATGTTATTCGAAGTTAAAAAATTTCAACTTCAAAAGTCAACGATTGAAGAATTATGGAATGAAAAGAAACTAACACCACTCGTGTGATTCATAAAATATTTCAAGGACCCGAATGCAAAATTGCAAACAATTCAGATAAGCATGCCGTGTAATTTAATATATATAATCGAGGAACAATTGGACGTATCGCTCAGAGTTTTCCTTCTAAAAAATAAAAACAGCATACCAGGCACCGTGTTGAGTATTGGTTTTGTATATAATGTAAACTTGTGCTCACTTAACGTGGATTACATTTGATTTCCATATATTAAATAACTACATAACTTTGGGGGAGCTGTCTTCCTAATTAATCACTTGCGATGTAATAGAGAAAAGCGACAAACAATTAGACCACAAACTTAATTTTCAGCTTCGTAATCAACATCAACCTCATGGTAGTACCTAGTCAATTTCTGCAACCGAGATATATGAAAACCCCCTTACACTGGCCTAATTTATTTTCTTATAATTAGCCGTATTATATACCAGATGGAGAAGGAAAAGAAAAAGATAAGTACATAATTATCATAAATATATAGATTCACATAATTTGATTATGCAAAAGGATAAACAGTGAAATATGTTCAAACAATAATCTTGCTCCCTGCCTTAATTACCATCATAGTGAATTTTTAACATATAGATTTAGATATTCACAACTTAAAATCAACAAACTTGTTTCTATTCAACTATTTCAATCATGAAACGTGCACAAATCCTGTGAGGAAAGCTAAAAAGTCTTTAAATTCTGCCTTTGAGGAAAGCTAGCTAAAAGTCAAAGCCTATTGGCTAGCTAGTATCTATCAATCAAGAATTGGGGGACAACATAATGTTAGGCCCCTAATAACCACTCCCATCGGATATCTCCAAGCTATCAACCAGTAATCATGTTAATTTGATTAAAGTGAATGATCAGAATCCGACCTCCATATTATCTAATATATGATCGATGGTTAATGGATTTCGGTACTTAATGAAAATGGTTGATGGGTAAGAAATGCTTTGTAAGACTATAAAATGGGAGTTTGGGAGTGCATATATGTATCGTTTACCTGATTAGTTGTGCGGTAATGGAGAGAAGATGAATCTTACCCTGAAAAGTTAAGATCATCTTTGATTGAAATAGAGTGTTCCATTTTCTCCCTTGCTTGAAATTTTCTTAGCAGAGCCATTCTTGGTTGAAGAATTTGACACCAGTAATGCGCTCTTTAGCCCTTTAATCAACCTCTGCCCGATGTTTTTCTTGATTCTAGGACTGTCGACGCATGAATTCTCCGATGATGATGACCCAAATACTTTGTCTTCTGGACGACTAAACCGAAAACTCGCGGAAGAGGAAGCTCCTCTATCTGCTCTTTCAATCGTATTCCCTGAACCGTAATGGAAACTAGCTGACCTGCCTGATCCCAACACATCTCTAGACCCAGCGCCAACTCCTCCGTTATGATCAGAATCTTGCAAGATCTTCTTCATGCAAAGCAGCTGTTTTTCCAGGGTTTGGATACGGGAGCTCGTGGCGTCCATTGCTGCCTTGAGTTGAGCAGTTTCACGCATTGTGGCATGGTGCTGGAGGATCGCCCCAAGGGTGATGTTGTCTCTAGCAGGGCGATGCGTACGAGAAGAATAGTGATTGGCAGCTGAGAAAATGGAGCGGCGGGTGTTGAGCTGTTCCACCAACATGGCTCGGACTACGAATCGCAAAGGCATTCTAGGGTTTTGCACTGCATGTAGGAGGAGCTGAGGTGAGAGCTTGTTGCAGTCAATGGAATTACATATCTGGGTCTTCTGTTCCTCCGTTATCTTCCCATTGTGCTCCTGTTCAAACAGGAAGCTTGTATCATGATTACATGAAGATGAATTCTAGTTCTTATTAGATTAATAACCACTAAGTTAATTAATATAACTACTATGATTCTAATTACGAATTAAGATTCTTCTAAGAATTATTACTCTCATACATACACTTGCAAAGTTTTGTATATTCATTATAAACGAAAGATGTTACAAAATAAATCCATCATACAAAAGATAGAAGGATAATGCCTTATTTGATAATGCAAAACAATTTCATTTTCATGAAGATCTTAACAAAATGCACGTTAGTGGGTCATCCACCTTAGGGGTAGAGGTTCGAATCCTAGTTCCTGCACATCCACTTAAACCCCCCCCCCCCCCAAAAAAAAGGCACATTAATGGCTTAAAAAAGTTAAGAAATTGGAGGGAACAACCAAAGGTCCAAATTAATTAATATTCTTAACCATCAATAAATGGACACCAAACCAATAGCCGTCCTGCCTACACAACCTTAAATAAAATTGAAGAACAGATTTTAATTCATCGCTAGACTCCACCTAAATTTCTAATGCACCTATTGAAAATGTTTGAACAAGAATTAATTCTCTAGATGCAGAACATTCTCTTAAATAATTCGGAAATTATTAGTATAGTTGAATATATAAACTTAAAATTTTTTAATTAGGACACGAGCTATATGTGAGAACTAAAATTGCTCCAATGTCGTTACCTCGAGATAAAATCAACGATCCTATAGAGCAAATCGTGGTACTCAAATCGTTGGTGCATAGACTCGGCCACGATTTTAAAATCCTCGGCGCGCAAAGAAATAACGTCGTCAAAGTAACCGTCTACGCCCTCACCATCTTCCGACGAATTCATAACCTCCACGCATCTACTAACAAGGAAAGCCGTTGTTTCCGCTTCCGGAAGCAGTGCCAGGCAAGACCTGAAAACAATCGCCGCGTACTCTCCGTTGAGGGTGACGAATCGATGGAAGTAACCCTCCGTTATCTGCTTCAAGTTCTGGTCGCCGTCACCTTTAGTCTCCGTCATCCCCAGGAGTTCCGCTGCTAGCAGAAGGGAGGCGACGTTGAACGGCGTTACGAGGAGGTGGGTCCCGTAACAGAAGTCGGCGACGAGAGCGAACGTTTCGGCCGTTATGTTTAACGGTGGGGATAACGTTAATTCAATTGTTCCGTTAGTTGCCGCCTTAATAGGTGCTCCTCGACGACAGAGGATCCTATGAAGAAAAATACGGAGAGACCCGTAAACCATAATTATCCATTAATTGCTGAACGCAGCGTTTTAGATATTTTTGCTTTTGGTTGGTGACATCAAATATTTGTATCCAATTTGATTTTTGCATCAAATGGAATAAATAGTAAAAGAAATTGAACATGATTCAACTCAATTTAAACAAAGAACTTCTCAAGAAATTTAATTTATTTGATTATTTCGAGGTTGGAAATTGAAAAATTACATTTTGGTGCAAATTTTGAAAATATTGTGGCACTACAACAAATTGCTTTCCTCTGTTGTCAAATCTTTCCCTTTCAGTTTTTATTATCTGAAAGAATTTTGTGGGGTATGTTTCTGAAAACAAGTAATTGGAGGGGTCAGTTTTTAATATATTTTTTAAAATTTTGCTAGAATTGAAATTCCCAGACTAAAATTGTCAAGAATGTGGTATAAATTTTGCAGCAATTCAAAGTGATAAAAGGAAAAAGAAAATCACACTAGCTTTTCTTCGGCAGAATATCTCTAAAAATCGGCTAAAAAATCATTGGGACATTGTTCCCAAATATCGACATACGTTATAATCTGAAAAGGCTTACCACCCAAAGAAAGCAAAAACCAGAGTCTTGGATCAACTAAGATCTCCCAGCTGATCAAGCGATCGATGGAGTAGTACTAATTAAAGTTGTTGATGAATCAACATACCTTGTGAAGGCGAAAAGCTGTTCCATGGACATGTATCAACACGTCAGTTTTTCTCCCCATTGCCGATGACCTTCATCGTCAAAATAAAATAAGATGCATATTCAGACACAAGTGTTAAAACGAAATAAAAAAAAGACAAGGGAGGAGAAGAAAGAAGTACGTATATATACCAAGCCTCCACTCTTGAATGGAGTGGTGTAGGAGGAGAAGAGAGAACTGAAGGAGAAAGAGAAGGGGAGGTAGAAGAGTACTCATATTCTTCTTCATAGATGGTTTCCACTACTCCTAAATTTCCCCAAGGCTTCATTGTTTTTGGTTTGCTGCTCCTTTGAGGAATGTAATCGAAGCAGTTTTGGTTTTTCTATGTTTGTTTATTGTCGCTGGCACTAGCTAGCCACTAGGGTTTTTGGGATTTTGGGAGAGGGTGAGAAATTCCTTGCTGGTAGGGAGTATTAATGGTGGCATGTGATGGCTTATAAATGCTAGCTTTTAATAACCCAAACCAGTGCTTGAAATCAAATATATTTGTTTTTGGATTCTGAGCGAAATTCTCTTGCCTACATGGTTTTAGAAATCTGATCTTGACTTCCTATCTCCTTTCATCTCAGTCAAAATCTCACTAGATCTTGCACCTATGTATAAATTATTAGGCTTAACCAATTACCATAACCCATGTGGTCAAATACATATTTCTTCCCAATATCCTAAAGATTGGGAGTTTGACAAGTGTGGCAGCTACACCAGTTATTTTGCTGATTGCCATGTCAGCACCTGAATTTCAGTGAATTATTTGCCAATTTTATTGGGGTGAGGAATCAGTCATGAGTTCAAACAGCACCCTAAAATTTTACTACCAAGAAAGATAAATCAAAGGGTAATGGGGGAAAGATGTGCATTAAATGTTTGCAGGCATCTCCATTGAGCATACAAAGCCAAAACCCTATCTTACAGTTGCATTGAGCAAGATAAATCAAAGGATAGTGGGGGAAAGATGTACATTAAGTGTTTGCGGGCATCTCCATCGAGCATACATAAGCCAAAACCCTATCTTACAATTGCATTGAGAAAGATAAATCAAAGGGTAATGAGGGAAAGATCTGCATAAGTGTTTGCAGGCATCTTTATTGAGCATACAAAGCCAAAACCCTATCATGTACCAAAAAAAAAAGCCAAACCCTATCTTACAATTGCAATGAGAAAGATAAATCAAAGGATAATGGGGGAAAGATGTGCTCTAAGTGTTTGAAGGCATCTCCATTGAGCATACATAGCCAAAATCCTATCTTGCAATTGCATTGAGAAAGATAAATCAAAGGGTAATGGGGGAAAGATGTGCATAAGTGTTTGCAGGTATCTTCATTGAGCATACAAAGCCAAAACCCTATCTTACAAATGCATTGAGCAATTGGGGTGTTGTTTCCATCAACCATTCTGAAGAAACATGAAAAGAAATACTAACTTTTTCACTTCTAAAAATCAACCAAAATAAGTTGAAAACTTCTTGTAACCTTCATCCTAACTTGAGAGGGCTTGTTGCTAGAGTTAGTGTCATATATTCTTCCTTTATTCATTGTGCACATAACTATCTATAAGTAGTAAAATCCGTATTTTGTGCACTGTTCAGCAACTATGAGGTTTAATGAAAAAGATTTCTTAACTCTAATTGGAGTGAGTTAACACTATGCCACTTTCATTGGATTTGTTCTTTTTTATACAAAGTCATATGGACATGAACTTACCCTCTTATTTTTTTGGAGTTTTGGTACAAAACTGACCTTATTCTAATAAGGAAAAACAACAAAAGAGATCATTGGGCAAAAAATAAAATAAATTGGAAGAGAAGCTTACTTTAACCAAGGAAATGGATCTAATCAGTGGCTCAACATGGGGTTGAGATTGAATGTTTCCAATATGTAGGGCATAAGTCCCATACAAGAGGCCCAACCGACACCCCTGAATTTCTATTTGCTGGTGAAACTTGTTTAATTGCTCTTGGACAGTCTTGATTGACATGGACCAAGATTTAGGCCCATTTAGTAGGAGATAGGAACAAAGAAAGGAATAATAACATAAAAAAATCAAATGATTTCAATATAAAAACTGAAGATTAAGCTTTCCAATTACCTTTTTTTTTTGCTTTGAATTTAATTTTTTAATTTCACATGCTTTATATAAAAAGTCATTTTCTCTTTATCCTTAACTTCCCTTTTTCCCTCGTTTCAATTTGGGAAAGAGCAAAAATGCCATGCTCCAAGCAAGGCCTCAAAGAAACCCAGACCCAACTGACAAAAAAGAAGAAAAACTGAGGCCCATTAAGCCCAATGAATGCCAGTTAACCCTAGTTTCCCTCTCGTTCCATCATATATCCTCTCAAAACCCTACTTTCCAAATTTCTGCATTGGCCGTCGCATAGCAGAGGAACCAAACCCCACCCCCCCAACCTCCCGGCAGCAAAAATGAAGTACAACCCACGAGTCTCCTCCTCTCGCCGCAAGAACCGCAAGGCTCATTTCATGGCACCCTCGTTCCGTCCGCCGCGTGTTAATGAGCGCACCATCTCATCCGATCTGAGGTCCAAGTACAACGTCCGGTCCATGCCGGTCCGAAAGGACGACGAGGTCCAAGTCGTTCGCGGGACCTACAAGGGACGCGAAGGGAAAGTGGTTCAAGTTTACCGTCGCAAGTGGGTGATCCACATCGAGCGCATCACGCGAGAGAAAGTTAACGGTTCGACCGTGAACGTTGGAATCAACCCATCCAAGGTTGTCATCACCAAGCTGAGGCTCGACAAGGATAGGAAGTCGTTGCTCGATCGTAAGGCTAAGGGACGTGCCGCTGCTGATAAGGATAAGGGAACTAAGTTCACTGCTGAGGATATCATGCAGAGTGTCGATTAAGGTTGTCTTTCCTTTTGTTTTTTTCAAATTACGATATGTCTCTTTTATGTTATTATTCAGGGAACTCGCAACTGTTGGACTTTGGTTTTTATGTTTTACATTTTTGTTATGTTATCAATCGGTAATACGATGAGGAATCCTGAATTTTGCAGTCGTTTAATGCTATTTGTTTCAATTTTTGTTATGGTGATTTCTATTTAGGGTGTTTTACTAGTACTAATTTATTTGTTCTTTCTGCTGCATTTCTTCAATCTTAAATAATTTATACATAGAATCGCCAAAAGAAATGATCTTTTGCTTTCAGCTGTGCTGAGTTGCAGAGAAGTTAGTAGTAGTTTCAACACTTTATTAGCTTCAACTTGGTTTGTATCGTAATGCAGCAATTTGTTACTGATTTGTGTTGCTCCACAGCACAATATCCGCCTTTGTCTCTTACCATGCTTACCTGGTGCATTGTTTATTAATAAGTAGAGTTGTTAATCATTAAAATCCTCTGAAATGCACCATCACCATGTTGTAGCTCGTTAGTTTTTATTGGTATTAACTTGCTTCTCTTATTGAATTCTTTTCATTTATTTGACAAAAATAAGCAGCATTCTTTTCATTATATGTAAATTATGCCCATCCAATTCGTACGCTGGGGGATTACAAGAAGCCAAGTCATTGAGCATGCAACGGGAGGGAAGGAAAATGAAATGTAGAAATGATATCCTGAAGCTGATTATTCAAACTATAATAATTATAATTTCAAGAGGCCTTATACGGAGAGTTGGAAATAAAGGAGGGAGGGAGGGAGGGAGGGAGGGAAGGAATGCGCCCACGGGCAGTACTGCCCGTCTCCATAATGGAGTGATGCCTAGGTTGCAGGACGCAGGACTTGAAAGACACCACCTATTAGGCTTAAGGCTCGACTTTCAAAAAAAAAAAATTAGGCTTAAGGCTCCCACAGTTGGATGAACTTCAAAGTAGGCAACTGAAATAATTTATTCTCACAGTGTGCACAAATAAGTTTCGTATGTCACTCAAAATGAAATAAAGACAGTTCAAAAGCTTTGATCAATTAAAAGGATCTCCTCAATAAAATGAGGCTTGAATGTGCAAATGCCAAAATCGTTCAAAACTTACATATAGAATCATGGAAAGCCTAAAGTTTGAATCCATCCACAGTCATTGAGAACCTAGAAATGAATATTAACCATCTGTGGAACTACTTATTGACACCCCTTTTCAATCTCCACAAAATTTTTTTCAAAAGGTATCAAATCCCAAATGCATCATTGAACAGCTACGAACCAGTTAGGGTTTCAGAGCAAGGGCCAATCCAAAGCGAGGACTTTTGTCCAAGGCCTTGGTGTCAATCTCACCAGAGATTGTCAGCAATGACTTTGGTATGACTTCATGCTGCAGCAGGGCTCCAAGCCTCCCATGATTGTTGAGCTTAGCTTTAATCAGCGTGAGATGATCAACAGCATAGGCCCCTCCAACAGTAAATGTGTTCTCATTTGTGGAAAACCTCCTGCTGATCTCTCCCACAGCAGCGCTCTTCTTCAGCTGGTCCAGATAATGCACATACGATGCTTTTATACTGTCTCCCTTGTCTCCCCTGAGAGTAAAAGGAAAGAAATTAGTGACAAAAGATTAGAAAGTGTTTGCTTCTATTCACTTTTAAGATCAAGCAGAGTATGGTAGTGTACAAGAGCTTACAGAATTATGGAAGCATATGCATCTGGTTTTGTCACACTGATACCAGCAGTGTACTTAGTAAAATTTCCCAAGGTGGTATCATAGGCTGCCTCTGCACCAAAAGCAATAGCAGGTGTGCCAATGGTTGCTGTGACATCAACACCTGGTGTCTGGTTCAAACCAACAGCTGTTGTGAAAGTTGCATGGTCATGGAAATACTGAACCTCCAACTGCAAAACAAATAGCAGATAGAAACTTTTTAAACATCAAAATAATCATCATGAAAAACATTTCTGCTTAGGAGAGGCAACTTCCTACCTTGCCAGAGTTATAATCAGGCACTTTGAATGATGCAATAGTCTTAGTGGATGGAAGAATCTCAGTGAATGTAAGCGTTGCTGAGATCTGCCCAAAACAGTGGAAAAATGTAAGACCCTCAGCAGTACAAGGCTACTTGTTATTTAACAAGTTTCCAAAGAAAGGACGTAAGAACCCACGTTAGAGTCTGTATCGACTTTGACATCAAATTGAGTGTTCTTGTACTTGTATAGTGCAGCAACATCACCAACAGAAAGTCCTCCTTTCTTCAGAGCAGTTGATGTGAGGGCCTGAACAGAAGCAGAAGAAAAGGAATTAGCACAATGAAGACCTGTGGAATGTTTTAATTTAAGTGAATCTTGTCATCATCTAATTGTTTCCTCAGAACATGGAGATTTAGCTTAACCTAGACCAAAGGTACATTAATCTAGGTAGAAACCTTAACCCCCTTTCAAAAATAAAATAAGACACAAGAACCCCTTAACTCCTTTCCATTCAAAAAAATTGGTCACACCAAACATCCAACTATAATGAAACCAGTCCCATCTGGAGTTAGACACAGTTTCACCCTACAATACCTTGAGAAAAGGGACAAAATGTGCATAGATTCAAAGGGACGATTTCTATTGCATTCTTTGAGTTCAAAGATAAAGCAGATTCATGAGAGATTCAGGGAAATCACCCTAACCTAAGACAAAAGTTTCTTTTCTGAGTTTCATTTCAAGGTAAAAAGTGAATAAAGAAAGAACAAGAACCTTGATTTCTGTAATGCTTGCACATTTTCTGTTTTCTTTACCTCATTAAAGCAATTACACAAGATGTGACGCATATCATATGAGCCAATCCACGTGCTTCCACCATTTCATTTATCCACTAAGTTTAATAAAAACATGTTTCTTTCGATTAAGGGAAGGGGAATTTTTGAGAAATAAAACGAAAAAGAATCCTCCACAAAAATTCTGCATTTGTATTAATCCAAACACATTACTGTTAAGAACTCTAAAGTCAGTTGATAAAAGATCTAAGCAAGCAAATCAGCATTTCATTCCATTGTTATAGAATAATCTATCAAGCCCTAACTACTATACAAACAATTCATAATCCGAGGTGTAAAAGAAGTAATTTTTTCATACCACTCCAGCGCCAGTGTATGTAGAAACAGTGAACTTGTGATCGGAGCTATAATCCTTATTCAAGAGATCTAAACATTAAAAAAAAAAAAAAGAGAAATGAAAATAGATGATTAAAAAAAAAAAGAGATGGATATTTCGATTCAAACGCAAAGGAAATTTCGAAGTTCGTTGAAAGATCGTACGGTAGAGAGCGAAGGAGATGGACGGATTTGATTACCTTTGGCCTTTTTGCCAATATCGGAGAAGAGTCCTGGTCCCTTACTCATGGCTGCAATACACTAGGAAAGATCTGAGAAAGCGGGAGAGAAAAGAAATGGTGAAACGGAATCGAAGGACGAAGGGCTATTTTTCTTTCTTTCTTTCTTTTCCTAAAATCGTCTCAAGAAAATGCCAAAACTTTTCAATTGTGACCATCAGGTGTGACCGTTCTTGGAACTGGCGTGTTCTTGACCGTTTGATTTGATTGAAGCTGTACGTTTGATGCGTGAGTTTTTGCCATTTTTCTAATATAAAATGCCGCTTTGTATTGGCAAAGCTAGGCTGGAAGGAATATCACTGTAGGTGTGCATGAATTTTTTTATTCTTTTGTATACTCTAAGTAAACACCAGCCTAGGCTTAGCAAAGAGTAAGATATCAAGCCAGCATTTGGGATTACGGCTTGACAAATCAATAACAAATTTCCAAATCATTGAAAATTTAATTTTTTTATTTAAAAAAAATTAATGAAAGATTTTCATTGAAAAAGTATTGAAAATAATAAGTAATTAAACATATTCAGTCAATTTTATTTAAGAAAAACATATTATTTAACTACATTAATATTGTATCTTTTCTTTTTAACCAGTTAATTTTTTCATTTTTAATCATTATCAATATAAAATACTTATAATAAATCATATTTCTCTTTTGCAAAAGATTCAATAAAAAAACTACTCAACATTTAATTTTTACTAACATATCAAACAATTTTTATATCATAATTTCAGTGTTTGTAAAAATATTATCATCTTCTTTTTGGAACTGTATCTGATTGTGAAAATGTTTAATGCAAAATAAAATCACAAAAATATCCATCCTTAACTAGCATGTTGAAATGGTAGATGGAATAATTCATATTTAGTTTATTATACTTTTATTGGACGATTTTGCCTCCTAACTAAGAACAATTCCAAAGGTTAATAATTCTTTTTACTAATTTAACATTTGGTTAGATTTTTATATAAAGAATATTATAAGAAGAAAGATTAACTTTTAACTTCTTAATTTTGAGACTATATAAAGTATCTTAACTCTTGGTTGTACATGTTGCCGTGTGTACGTCGTTGAGGCTTTCTCTCAACCATGAAGAAGAGATTTTGAAACTTTTAAATCTCATTTTCAATTATATCATGCGTAAATTCAATTTAATGTTTTGTTGGTTTTGTTTATTTGTTTGATTTAATTATTACTTTTTTATAAATATATTAAGGTATAGAATTATATATTATAGTGATTAAACAAAATTATAATTTTTACTTATGGTTATAAAAAAAATGATAGCAAAACTCTTTCCTCTTGGTCAAAAATGTTCATTTTTCACTACCGCGAGTGTATTTTGAACATCTCAGCCAATCCGCCAATGAGAGCCTTCCATTTGGATTTTGAAAAACTCAAGCTACGGTTTGGCACTGGCTAGCTAGTTTAAAACTGGGCTATGACGATTAAGCCAGTCACGGAACACAGGCCTATTTGGCCAGGAGTGCTGGATTATTTGGGCCATTGGAACGCAGGGGCCAGCCATAGCCAGACCTTTTGGGGAGAACACTATGATTGTGCGTGCAACTCCTGCAACTGACTTCATAAGTTTCGAAGATTAATTGGTCTTCACGTTGCTTGTTCAATTCAAATACTGAGTTTCATATCTTTACTAGATCTGATTACATCAATTGTTTTTTCTTGGTCAATAATGATCGCATCTTTAATATTCTTCCTTTTCTGTCAAAATGTGGTAATTTACCATGACTTACAAAGTCAATAATTAGGAAAGAAGTGATCAAAAGTTCAAGGCAACTGCTTCATTTCTTTCTATCCACTATCCTTGACATGGATTTTTTTATTTTAAACTTGTGAACGAATTGGATTTTGGAGATGAATAAATAAATACTTGTAGTATCTATTTATGTGCCTCGAATGTTATATATTTTTTTCATAAGCCATCTCACATATTATATAGTACATAGATCAATAGTGTGACTTATCTAAGTCAACGAAAAGGTTCCTTATGGGGGCGGCTCCAAGTCTGCCTTGGGTGCTAAAGTTGTCCAGTTGAGGCCCTGAGTCCAACTTGATTGTCTTAATTTTTCATTGGAATATGATCTAAATTTATTGATGCATTATATATTTTTTAAAATATGTATAATCTTATAATTTGATTAAAAATAATAAAATATTGTTACAAAATAAAAGAATACTCTATGAAATATTTTGTATTTTGATATTTTGAAATAAATTAAAAAATATAATAATAAAATTACACTCGATAAAAAACAATGATAAATTTAATTATTAATAGTAAAATTTGAATTTTTTTTTTATTTTATTTTTCAAAAATGCCATGGTAAAAACGTGATTAGATGGGATATTTTTGAAACAAGCCCGCCAAATGGGTTTTCTCGAAAGTCGTTCGATCAAAATCCGAACTCGCGTCAAGTCGGGCGGTCTGTGGCGTTCTGCTTCGGCCTACCTGTTCGTGCCCGATGGTCCGAGACTCTAAAGCTTTTCTTAGCAGAGACGCTTGGTTGCCCCAAAAAAGGAGGCGGGACCCGAGCACTTCCCCAAGTTGAGTACTGCACCCGGCAGTCACTATGAAAAGCAAAAGCAATATTAATTGAATCCCACGATAAGACGCCATTCACCAAAAAATTTATGTAAGAAAGAAAACGAAGAAAAATCTTCAAAATCGTGTTGACATGGTGTTTTCAAGAGAAACATCACGTTTTGATCGGACTTTTTGTGAGTTCAATGCTGAATTAACTATTGATACATACGATGTAGGACTCAAGAAAAACCTTTGGATAGTGACTTAAATGGAAATCTAAGCATATTACAATAACAACAAATAAAATATTATATAATTCAAAATTTGTTTTATATTGTTTAACCTAATGACTTCAGCTAGTTCTTTTTCTTTTTTCAATTGATGATGTTATATTTATCTCATGCTCTTTGAGCAATCATATATAAAAAAATATTTGCTGATTTAATGAGACATTAAAAAAATATTTTTAATGCATGCTTAGAGAAATCTCAGATGGCTATTGGCAATATGAACTTCGTTTCTAAAATTTTAATTAAGTGATATTATATTTTTATATTTAGTATAAAATATTATCATTTTAAATATGTTCAATGGAAATCTGATTACTATATCCAATTGAAGGAATGTAACTTTGGCATATGGGAAAGTTACCATTTTTATTTTCCTAATTTAGCCTTGGCCTTCCCATTCATATATTCTTAAATATTTTGTTATTATTTGTTTTTATAATTATTATCACTACCCGTTAAGAGAAAATTGATTGTAGAAAATAAAATACTTCTAATAATATTACTAAATCATTTGCTATTTATTTTAAAAAATAAAAACAAAAAAAAATTACCAAAGAAGTTCAATGACAAAAATTCAGAAAACTCTTTGGAAAATGTTATTTTTTATTCTTGTAATATTTCAAAACATTATTAAACAAATAATATTTTTGATAGTTATAGGTATTATTAAAAAAATAAAAATTCAATAACTTCATATATTTCAAAAGTTAAATAATTAGTATTCACTGTTATCTTTTTTTTTCATATCATTATTTTTTTTAAAATGTAAAATTTAAAAATTTTAAAAAATTACATTAAAAAAGATATATTTATTAAACTTTATACTTGCATTTACAAAAATAATTCTATAAATTAATACTACATTTTCAATTTTTTTTTCAAAATTTGAATCAATAATTTTCTGATATATATTTATATACACCAAATATTATAATATTATATTTTTAACAATTACTTTCTTAACCATTACATTCGCAACGATCATTGACGTGTACGTGTTCGTGTAAGAGTAAGGAATATTCCCACCGCGTGCAATACGCGTAACACAATGACCGATCTGGAGAAAAGACAAAAAAAAATAAAAATAAAGGGAAACTAGAAGGGTGATAGGCTTTTCTGACTCATGGCTTTAAACAAAAGCGAAAAAGGTACAAAGCCACTTTCAAAGTAACAATTACCATCTTCTTAATAGAATTAATTCAGGTAACTCAATCACATAAGCAAATGAAATCCTTTGACTTGAAACCGAACAACCCGTTCAAGTTAATTTCCTAAACAGTAGGAGAAAGAAATTGAGAGCAAAGAAGACCAGCTCAACGTTGTCTCTACTAAAATGCATCAAATTTCGGATCCTCCCTCCCATTTCTCTTCCATTCTCAAATCCTTACCCTAACTCAAAATAAAAGAAACTTTCACAACGTTTTCTTTTTTGTTATTTTCATTAAAACAAATTTATTCTCCTTTGTCTGTTCTTTTTGGAATGTTTAATGTCCTAGAAGCTGTATCTGAAACTTCCACGTTATTGGACTAAGCCGTACCGGAAATTATTTTCGAGTACGACTCTCTTTATTTTACTCGGTTGAAGATTCTTCCTTGTAGTTTCGGGATTTTGCTCATATATAGTTGAATGAAGCTGGGGAAGCAGTTTTAGGAACGAAATCGATTTGAAAACGAAGTTAAAAATTAAAGGATGGAGAGTTATTTGAATGAGAACTTCGAAGTGAAGGCGAAGCACTCGTCGGAGGAAACGTTGGAAAAATGGAGGAAAGTTTGTGGTATCGTCAAGAATCCGAAACGGCGGTTTCGGTTCACCGCCAACCTCTCCAAACGTTACGAGGCTGCTGCTATGCGCCGCACCAATCAGGTCCGTAGGATTCTGAATCCCGCTTTCTCATTTCGAAACTGCTGAAAATCATTTTCAAACCTCCTCTTACTTTTTTTATCGATATTTGTGAGATCATATTTGGACGTTTGGAAATTAGCAGAAATTTGTCGGAGAGTTTAAGGATTTCGAAGCTTTTTGCAAAAGAAAAAGGAGAAACAGAATAACATTTCTATTTTAACTCTTATAAATGGACTGTTTTCGGCGGTGATTAATGTCATATTTATTTTCTCCAAGTTACTTGACTTCCTTTCCATTTTTAAGTTTATTTAGGTTTCGCGGTTTAAATTTCTCCTGTCCTATGATAAGCTCCTTTTTTTTTTTGCAAAGAAAATTTTTTTTATTAGGTGTTTGAATGTAGTAGGATTATGATATGTCAAATTGGGATTTTAGAGCTTATTTGTATTTATTTTTTTGGATTTGGAACATCCCAGGAAAAATTGAGAATTGCTGTACTGGTTTCGAAAGCTGCCTTTCAATTTATATCAGGTGAGATTTTTCCAGCCAATTCGAGTAAAATTGTTTACATTTTATTTTGTATGCTGCCTTTCAATTTAACTTAATCCTCTTTCGCAGGTGTGCAACCCGGTGATTATGTTGTTCCTGAAGAAGTCAAAGCTGCTGGTTTTCAAGTTTGTGCTGATGAGTTAGGATCCATTGTGGAAGGCCATGATGTAAAGAAACTAAAGTTTCATGGTGGAGTAGATGGTATTGCTGAAAAGCTCTCGACATCAACGACCAATGGACTAACTTCCGATTCTGGTCTGTTGAATAAAAGACAAGGGGTTTATGGAATCAATAAGTTTGCTGAGCCTGAAACTAAGGGGTTTTGGGTATTTGTTTGGGAAGCTCTTCAGGACATGACTCTTATGATCCTTGGGGCGTGTGCTTTTGTGTCGTTGATAGTTGGGATAGCAATGGAAGGATGGCCAAAGGGAGCTCATGATGGACTTGGGATTGTTGCGAGTATCTTGTTGGTTGTGTTTGTCACAGCAACAAGTGATTATCGCCAATCTTTACAGTTCAGGGATTTGGACAAGGAGAAAAAGAAAATCACTATTCAGGTAACAAGAAATGCATGTAGGCAGAAAATGTCTATATATGATTTACTTCCTGGTGATATTGTACACCTTAATATTGGTGACCAAGTCCCAGCTGACGGGCTTTTTGTCTCGGGATTTTCTGTGCTAATTGATGAATCAAGTTTAACTGGGGAGTGTGAGCCGGTAATGGTGAATGCTGAAAACCCTTTTATGCTTTCTGGTACTAAGCTTCAAGATGGATCATGCAAGATGATGGTTACCACTGTTGGGATGAGAACACAATGGGGTAAGTTGATGGCAACCCTCAGTGAGGGGGGAGATGATGAGACCCCACTGCAGGTGAAGTTGAACGGAGTGGCAACCATTATTGGGAAGGTAGGCCTGTTTTTCGCTGTAGTGACTTTTGCTGTATTGGTGCAAGGACTGTTTACCAGTAAACTGCAAGGAGGGACAATCTGGAGTTGGTCTGGTGATGAGGCATTGCAAATGCTGGAGTTCTTTGCTGTTGCAGTTACAATTGTTGTTGTTGCAGTTCCAGAGGGTCTACCATTGGCTGTGACCCTGAGCCTTGCTTTCGCCATGAAGAAGATGATGAATGATAAAGCACTAGTTCGACACCTTGCAGCTTGTGAGACTATGGGCTCAGCAACAAGTATTTGTAGCGATAAGACTGGGACACTAACAACTAATCACATGACGGTTGTGAAATCATGCATTTGCATGGGTGTCAAGGAAGTAGGTAACAACAATAAAGCTTCTTTCTGCTCTGAGATTCCAGAGTCTGCTGTGAAACTTCTGCTACAATCAATTTTTACTAACACTGGCGGTGAAATTGTTATCAACAAAAGCGGAAAATGTGAAATATTGGGAACACCAACAGAGACTGCTTTATTAGAGTTTGGCTTGTCTCTGGGTGGAGATTCCCAAGCAGAACGACAGGCATCAAAAATTGTTAAGGTTGAGCCATTTAACTCAACAAAGAAACGAATGGGAGTGGTGCTGGAGCTCCCTGAAGGAGGGCTACGAGCACACACTAAAGGTGCTTCGGAGATAGTTTTGGCTGGATGTGACAAGGTGATCAATTCAGAAGGGGAAGTTGTTCCCCTGGATGAAGAATCCATTAACCATCTCAATGCTACAATCAACCAGTTTGCTAATGAGGCTCTTCGAACCCTGTGTCTTGCCTATATGGAACTGGAAAATGGTTTCTCCCCTGACAGTGCTATTCCAGTTTCTGGGTATACTTGTATAGGAATTGTGGGTATTAAAGATCCTGTTCGCCCTGGTGTTAAAGAATCTGTTGCTACTTGTCGTTCTGCTGGGATTACTGTACGAATGGTTACGGGAGACAATATAAACACTGCAAAGGCTATAGCCAGGGAATGTGGAATTCTTACAGATGATGGTATAGCCATTGAAGGTCCAGATTTCAGAGAGAAGACTCAGGAGGAATTGCTTACTTTGATTCCTAAGATTCAGGTACTCTCCACGTTTCTTATCTTTGCTTGAAAACTGTTACCAGTTGGTTATTTGTAACAAGGACAAATAATCTAATGCATTCCTCAATTTTCATTTCTTTTGCAGGTGATGGCTCGGTCTTCTCCTATGGACAAGCATACATTGGTAAAGCACTTGCGAACTACATTTGATGAAGTTGTTGCTGTGACTGGTGATGGAACAAATGATGCTCCAGCCTTGCATGAAGCAGATATAGGACTAGCGATGGGCATCGCTGGAACTGAGGTCAGCAATCATAAACATTTTCACACTGTGCATACTTCTTGGACCATTTAAATGAAAGAATCAATTTAAATATATTTATATTATGATCATAGATCAAAATGTGTATGGTTTACTGAAGTACTGATTCAATGCCTTGAGAACAACTCAGATAGTTATGCATGTTGTGAATGAAGTGCTAGATGTAATATGGGTTAGAATAAGGAGCAGAGACATGAGTTCCTTTGAGATTGAAAAAACACACTTCAATTATGGGAGGGAAGCTAATATAAATAGTTTTATGTTGTATAAAAAGATATTTTAGCTGGAGTTTTGATGTAATGTATGTTGCTTAATTGTGAAACAATACAACATTTCATGCACCTGATACTAGAATGTTGTGATAGTGACTTTACTTGTTAGATGATAGTAAAATATATTAATTAAGTGTAAGTTATGCCTGATAGTAACAATATCAAGATTTAATTAATCTCATTCTCAATTCCAGGTGGCCAAGGAGAGTGCTGATGTCATAATTCTAGATGACAATTTCTCAACAATTGTGACAGTGGCCAAATGGGGCCGTTCAGTATACATAAATATTCAAAAATTTGTACAGTTTCAACTGACAGTCAATGTTGTTGCATTGATTGTTAATTTCTCCTCAGCATGTTTGACAGGTAAGAGAGGGATATGTTTGTCTACTTTTAAAACTTATGTTCTAGCTTTCGTTTTAAATGGAAATAACTTTGTCCATATTGCTTATGCTTTTTGCGCCAAATCATTCTGCAGGGAGTGCCCCTCTCACAGCTGTTCAGCTGTTGTGGGTGAATATGATTATGGATACTCTGGGAGCACTAGCACTTGCAACTGAGCCTCCAACTGACGAACTAATGAAGCGTTCACCAGTTGGAAAGAAAGGAAATTTTATCAGTAATGTCATGTGGAGGAATATCTTGGGACAAGCTTTGTATCAGTTTATGGTAATATGGTATCTTCAGACAAAAGGAAAAGCAATATTTAATCTCAACGGCCCTGATTCTGATCTGATATTGAACACACTTATTTTCAATTCATTTGTCTTCTGTCAGGTAACCATTTCTTAAGAACTCCTTCATACTCTTCAATACATGTTGTTATATACACAATTGTGGGAAGGTCTATTTTGTCATGCATAGAAGCGATCAGGAGACTTGCAAATTATCTATATTGAACTTTGCTAGGACTCAGCACAGTTCTTTTTGTAAGGTTACCATGTTGGATGTATCATGCTCCTAACTTAAAACTTTTATGCCATAACCAGCTTTTTCTGAATATCTCCATATCTAACTTTGTTAAAAACTTTTGCCTAACAAAGAACGTTTGGTCTTTTTCCACAGGTTTTCAATGAGATCAGCTCACGTAACATGGAGGAAATAGATGTCTTCAAGGGCATATTAGATAACTACGTATTCGTGGCTGTTCTCAGCTGCACTGCTGTCTTCCAAGTCATTATAGTCGAATTTTTGGGTACATTTGCAAATACAACTCCTCTCACATTCTCACAGTGGTTCCTAAGCGTTTTCATAGGATTCATAGGCATGCCCATTGCTGCTGCGTTGAAGATGATCCCAGTATGAGCCACCAAAACGGCAGATGCTATTTTGTGAATGACATCATCGAAAGCCTTTGATGCCTCTCCCTTGCAGTGTAGATTACTTAGTGACTAGAAAGCTGTTTGCAAAGAAGGTAAATAGAGAGTTTGGAACCAAAATCTCATCAGCATTTAAGTGTCATTACAATTTTTTTAATTTTGAAACTTCTTCTGGATTGGATTTTCTGTTTATAGGACAAGCACTTTGCTTGTTTTGTTTTGTAATTTCTTGTTCTTAATTTCATTTTTTAATTGACATATAAGGCATGTAAGTATTTTTTAAAAATGTTTTGTAGTGACTGAATAGATAATTAATGCTTAGTCCTATATTAAGTCAGTAGGCATATCGGGACCTAGCAACTTGGGTTTTTTTACATATATATGTTATTTCTTTACAGTTGGGAATATAGTATTTAAACAAAAGACCTTATCTATTGTTCCATCTCTGAGAACCTTTCAGTTTCATAAACATGATACAACCAGACAGGTTCAAGCAATGCTCTGGCCTCATGTAATTTATGGCTTTCATCTTCATCATCTTGTTCTTCGATCTCTCTCTCTATACGAGGATAGATATCTGGCAGCGAAACCAACATCATGTCAAGCCCACTCCACTCTCTGTCTTCTTGTCCAATCAACTTCAGACAGACAAACCGTATCATTCCCAGAAGCAGACCAAAGTCCTTCCGTTCTAGCCCTACAGCTGAGCTAGCCAAGAAAATCATGCCAACTGCGTCCAGTATGCTGGAATTTCCTTTTAGCAATGAAATGATCATTCCCAAAAGTTTCTTAAACTCAGAGAATTCTGGTTCAGAAACTGTGTCATCCTCCTCTTCTGGATCACCTTCACTCATTTCAGTGAGCTCGGTCTTGGCCAAGATTAAGGGCCATGATGGAAACTGGAGCTTAATGTGATTCAATGCAGTCGAATATGCCCTCTCTAGACTCTGCTCGAGCATGCTTGTAGAACCAAGCGCTAGAATCAAATCAGGTAGCCAAGGCTTTGCTGCTGCAACAAGTCGTGCTGCAAAACTAGAGCCCAAAAACAATTCACCTGAGATGATCAAATCAAGCAAGTCACTGGCAAGGTTAAAAGACTCGACTGGTGCTGGTGAAGCTTCAGTAGCAGCATCAAGGACCAGATTGAGTAACTTGGTTGCATAGCTGAAGGAGCTCTTCACGCACATAATAGATTCCTTCAACTTCTCCTCCTTAAACTGTGATTTATCTGAGGATAGCTGCTTTAAGGAAGAGATGATGTACTGCATATATGCTGATGTAAACTTCAAGCACCTCCTATGGACACTAGAAGCAAAACCCATTGCAATAGAATCAACAAAAAACTTGAGAACTGCTGTAAGCATCTTCACCTTCTTTGATGTCTGTTTTTGTTTGGTGTAGACAGATCCTAAAGTAGAAAAGTATGCAAGAATGAATGACAGAATGACATAAACATGAGAATTTATTTATCTAAAACACAGATCACATGCAGCTGGTAAAAGTGGTACTCTATTCTCTCTATAGTCATAGTATTCTTCCAAAAACAGTTCATAAAAGATGGGATGCCAATACAAACACCAAAGGAACAAGGAACTGCAATGAGACCTCCAGAAATTGAAATGACTACAACTGGTCTCTCCTAATTTAACTTTTGGTGTTAATAAGTGATTGCAGTCTAGTTTTATTAAATGACAATGACTTATGTTTTTTTGCTGAGGAATCTTAGATTTAGATATTTGAAATTTCTAGTGGATTTTATTCCCAAAATGTACTTGATTTTAAATCCAAATCTAAATCCAACCCCTCATATACAGGTTCCCAAATGGATTACTATATCTTTGAAATGTGTAGTGCTAAAAGCAATTTTTTGCTTATGTGCATGCCTTCCGATGAACTGTGCATATGCCTTATTCATCACCACTAACCATCACTTGTAGAGCTAGAGACATCTGTTTGTGGTTCTCTCTGTTTCTGTCCAGGACGTGCGGCTCTCTTGCTGTTGACCCGCTTAGATTCTGGAGGTGATTTGCCATTCTTTCCTGAGTCACCTGCTTCAAATAGCTTATCCGTACAATTTAGCAGGTGATCCATTACCTTGTCTAGCATAGTCTGTCAGAAGTTAAAAGAATATAAAAATTCAGCCCATCAGTGACAAAACTTTGCTTAGAACCACAATAAAATAAAATAAGTGAAATTTCTAGCAGTAAATACTGACAAATTGGTGGTTGCATTTCCAAATATTTAATGCTACTAACAAAATTGAACCCAGATCAAAATCACAATGTAGCCGATTTACCAAATCAATGCAAATAAACAATGAAAAGGAATCCTGCAGTTTAATCATTTTGAGTTTTGACCGACCTACTGCAAAATCTCAAAGCAAATTACCAACTACAACACTGTAATCAAATGATAGCTAGAAAGGAACTTTATCTAATTGTAAGAGAAAAAAGGTGGAGGGGGAGAGACAGAGATGAGAATAGTTAGACAAAACTGACCTGCCTCAGCCCCCTCAGGCAAATTAAAATGAGCATTGAAGTTCAAGAAAAATCAAAAGCAATAACTTGCCTCAGAATTTGATCCAGAAGAGTGAATGCCATCATTCGTCTTCATACCATAATTGGTAACATTTTGAAGGGCCATCTGCAAAGCAAGAGCTGTATATGCCAACACTGGGTAGTGGTCCATATATTCATAATACTCACACTGCACAATGCTAACCTCAGAGATAACCTTTAAAGCAAAGAATGGCAGTTCCAAAGCTTGAGAACCCAGCACAGCTTTCCGAGTGTCCTCAGAAGCAAGCATATCTTTTATCTGCCATGATACTCCAATAGCAACAGAATAATCATCCTCGAAATTGGATGACTTCTTCCTGCTAACATGTTTCCATTTAGTGGAGTTTTTGGTTGAAGACTTCCATCTCTTTCTTTTTGCAGGAGAAACATTCTGTTTTGGTGTCTCAACATCAAATTTAACATGGCAGCGATAGGCAGTTTTTTGCAAAAGTCTTGTTAGAGCCTCAAACATATTATCAAAGGCATCACATGATATCAATAATTTGTGGGCAGACCTCACTTCAGCTTGCTTTTCTAAATTTTCAGATAAATCACTACAATCAGTGACTAGGCACATGCAATCTCCAAGGAGCCCAGCTACATTATCTGAGGCAGTGGTGGATAAAATGTCAAAAACAGAAGACTTAGCATGTGCAGTAGATGCAACAGAAAACAAACGCTTAACTCTTTCACCAGAAAACAACTCTTTAAGGGCATCCTGCTGACTTCGCTCATTTGCAAGGCTGCAGCAAAGGTTCGCCGAAGCAACAAGAAAGCCCTCAATTTGAGCTGCATCTAGTTTACCATTGGACACTACTAAGCTGATGAAAACCTTGACAAGTTCCATCATAGATTTAAGAGATGCTCCTTCTGATAAAGCAAATTCGCAAAACCTTGCTCCAGCCAGTGGAGATCTTTTCATAAGCATGACACAGCGATTGCATGCGTCTTCAATGTCTAGTCTTGCAGGAAAGTATGATGGCATAAGCAGTCTTGTAATTTTCTGAGCAACTGGAGATTGGTCATTTGCAAGTATATTCAACAAGACTTCTAAACTGACCACCTTCAAAATAAAGCAATGAACAATATCAACCACCACCCAAGGAGAAAGAAATTAAAGCACTGCTGATGCAAAATTAAATTTGAAAAGAACTTTGTACCTTATTAAATTTGAAAGTTCGGATGTCCTTTAAAAGAAGAAGGAGATCTACCATAGCAACTCTTATGGAAAGAACATTGTCTAACATCAGATGCCCCAGTCTCGGCAGAAGCACTTTAAGAATTTCATGAGACTGTGGATTGCCAAGCAAATAGATAATGCCATTCAATGTGGAAAGCCTAACCTCATTGCATGTGTCATATGCCATGTCATCAAAAATTTTCGAAATTATCTTTGTAATGGTTGATGAGGGAATAATTTCCCAAAACAAATGAAGGATGCGACAACAACCTTCCGCTGCAATTACTCTCACATCAGGGCAATCATCCATGAGTAATCTCTCCAATAAAAAGAACTGTTTATCCAGCAATGTATCTTTAACCTCTTTGGCAGCATCAGGATCTTCAAAAGGGAACAAGTCTAAAAGTAAATGTAATGCATTTTGACGAACATTTGAATTTGCAACCTGTCAAAGGACCATGCAGCTTGATTAAACAGTTGTCATCTAAAACACCCAAATACTGAGTTAGAAACATGTCAAGTTAAAGCAACAGTCATCCATCTTATTATTAAACTATGACTGTGCTAGAGTACTCCTAATTAACATGTCTAAGTTATCTATTCTAAAGGGCATATTTCTCCAAGACATTTTTAGCTAGGATACCGGTAACTAAGGTTCCTATGTTGTTATTCTTGCTACTGGTTTTTACTTTCTTAGAAGTTATTACTACGAAGTAAAAAAATGTGATAAAACCCAAAATCACCCTAACTAAAAATGAATAAATAACTAAAATATAACCTCAGTTTAAATATTATTATTTATACAAAAATAAAATTACGCAGTTTATTTATTAAAAGAAAATAAACACTTCGTTTTGGCTCTATGCTTCTAGCAACACTAAAAAGAGAATACTAGTTCCAGATAAATATTGATATTCACATTAACAAAAAAGGCAAACAAAACCATAAAAAAGCGCTATTATCCTCTACCTGTAAAGACCGGAAAATCACAGGCTCGGCAAGTCTAAAGAGCAACTTCTCAACTCCATCAACAGTTCTCTGATTAATAAACCCACCTAAAACCCTTCTAATACTACTTTCCCAAACCTTTGGAACTGGCATGTATAGCGCCTTCAACTAAACTCATCAAAAACCGATCTTCAATTTCCCTTTTCAATTCCCCTTCAACCCCTTTCCATCCCTTAAACACCATCTCCCCATAAGCTTCCAGCATCGATTTCCTCCCAAATGGAATCTGAGCTTTTATCATCGCCAAACATTCCTTCAAAAACTGCATACTTAACCCAAACGTAAACGCCACGAATCTCTTCCCTTCCTCCGTTTTCAGATACAAAGGCTCGATAACACATCGGATTAATAACAGCTTCAAATCTTCGATGCTTTCGTCTTCGAAATCAAAGAGACTGAAGGCTTCGCGGAGCGAATAAACTCTGTGAACATCCACCTTTTTCTTCAAAGTTAACGACTTTGAAAGCAAAAACGGCAGCGTTTGGGAAATCAAGGTTTCTTTTTCTGGTGCATCCTGTTTCCACCATTCTTCACATAAACAAGCTATTTCGTTGGATAAACCAGGATCCGATTCGAAAGTAATGAGGTTATCGTGCAGAGATCGAACGGCTGGGATTAATCAGAGTGCCGAAACGCGTTTCGGGGATGCGAAATGCATAAGCCGGTGATGTGAGCGAGAACGCGGAGGTTTTCGCTATCGTTGTTTTGCCAGTTGTCTCTGGGGTTGGAGCTTCGTGTTGATCGACGGGTCGCTTGGTGGGCGGGGAATGGGATGGGTCGGGTTCGTTCGGTTGGTTCGAAAGGAGACGATGGATTGGGAGATGGAGAGGTGGAGACAAGGAGGGACAGTAGAGGAGAGAGGAGAGGAAGGGGGAACGAGTGGATCAGGGATTTGAGAGTTGCTTTCGAGGATTTTAGGGTTAGTTTCACGCGGAGGAGAGGAAGTCCTCGGCGGAGGATTGGAGGGCGGAGCGGAGCCTCTTCTCCATCGCTTTTTTCCTTTGGCTGGGAATGGGAATTTGAAAAATGGGGGGAAAGGGAAAAAAAGAACAGTTTCTTTTTAAGTTTGGGGTTTCATTTGGGCCAACTTAATAGGAAGTAGGATTGGCCCAACTTTAACCAACACCCAGCCCATTCAATATTCATTCACTCATAAATGAATGTGTAGTACAACATACATAAATCAAGACATATATCTTTGCATGAAGTGATATTCAGTCACTGAATTAAGGTTTTCCGCTTTTTATTTCCTAACTCACCATGAGAATCTACCTTTAGGGTTACATACATTGGATTCTCTACCAATTAGTATTAGTGCAATATTATTTACAGACATTACGAATCATTTTTTGACTTAAAATAATGTATTAAGTTACTTTTTATTTTGCATTATATATATATATAAAGAAATGAAAAAACTTTAACAATATATCTTTCAGGAAATTCAAACTAGTAGGGATCATTACTTTTCCTTTAGTAGTCAAAATCTGGTCTCCTCCCTCCCTTGATTCCGAGGACGCTGGTTTTTCTCATGTCCCCAAGCAAGAGAAAACCATTGTTCGGTTCCTTCATGTCAACAGCAAAAGCTCTTGCTGTTTTCTATGGATATTGATGTGATCAATTCAGACCGTTATACTTCTAAATTCTTGATTCCATTTGTCCATAAGAACTTGACCAGCTACAAGTTTAAGAAAGTTATTGAGATAATTTATGGAATCAATCCCTGCTGTCGCTATTTTGATCGTCAGACCATATCTTGTCTTTTGCCTGCCATTTGTTCCTGCAATGTTGCTACATGTAGGTTAGGGAATAATCCGTTATTGTCACACGGTATTATTTCCTCACCTAACACATAACTGCATTTGGCAATCAAGATAAGCCTGCAATGTTATCTTAATTAGAAGATGAGTTTGTTCTGATGTTCAAGATAAGCCAGGTTTTTGCTATGATTTTTTGATATCAACTGAACATAAAGATAGCCATGTGAATCCTTGAAGCAACATTTATCTAGAGAAGAACTGACAAATTCAATGGTGATGGTAAGCCAAGAACAGCGACTTATATTTAAGTACATTTTTAGACAGATGAGAACCTGATTTTAGTTAAAAGTTTATCAGTCAAACAACAAATTTTTTCCTTTTGCATTGTCTGGTGCACATGAGACTCTGATTTTGCCTGTGCAAATCCATTTTCTGGTAGACAGCTCGGGCCATGTTAGAGATGGTGACTAGACTAGCCATGGAACTTGTCATGCCTCTCTCTCCCCTCAGCAAAAACCTGAGCAATAAGTAACTGTGAATGCATAAGAAAGAAGAAATGGGAAAATGTATACGTATAATTGACAGAATTCTGCAATTATTGCCGCTAATTTGTTCTAGCAATAAATCCTAACATCCATGGAATCATTCAGAATTTGTTCTTGGTAATTCTTGGTGAGTCAGGGAACATGAAAAACAAATAACATGTGCGGTTCTAACGTTATTGTTCATTGGCATGAATGTAGGCTACATTATTATCTCATTTCTGATGGAACATTGAAACTCTGGATATGACTGCCGCAGAGGAAACATGTATGTTCACAAGATACATAGTAATAACTGGAGAATAAAATACAACGCTGTACGATGCCAGACTGGATATCCTAAGAACCTTATGAAAGCATGTGGAAGGGTGGAGCCTCTGACACCCAATTTGCCAATTGCTATGAATCTCATGTTCCCCCATCCTCCCCCCCAAATCACCCCAAAACAAAGGTCTCTAATTCCATGATGACAACTTGGACCCTACAAACATCAATCAAAGTGAGCAAATATCAGCATTCACACGTTTTTGGCAAAGACAACGGCACAGCCACATAGGAGTGCACGGTGTAGCTGCTTTGAGGAAGGATCGCCTGTAATGACAATAAGAATGTCTGTAACGATTTCTTTCAGATAGATATTCTTTGAAACTTCAACAAAAATGGGTTTTTACCACTTTTAACCATATTTTTCAGTTAGTTTTATCAGTTTACGGCATCACCTTGCAAGATATATATACAAAGTTAGAAACTGTTTGAGTTCAAAAAGATAATGAGAAAGTCTACATAGAAACTGTTTGAATCCAAAAAGCTAAAGAGAAAGTCTACATTTCATCTCAACGTGGCCCTCCCCATTTGATTTGATCAACATCAAATGTGAGGTTACTGGCAAATCTTAGTCACCTTTTCTTATGACGTGTCTCTGCTCACAGTCTAGTTGTTAATTGGTAGACTATCAAATCAAGCATTTTGACATCATTTAAATGAGTTCAGCTGCAACATAATCAGGAAAGAAGCTAACTATTTGATTTCTTAAAGCATATTCTGGGGTTTACATGGCCCCCCAATCTTATTGCTGTTCCACCCATCGGTGGGAAGGAAACTTCCCACTCATCAAAAAGGAGACCCCAACATTCCAGGCAAATCCAATCACCGTTAACCTTTTCATACTTCTCGATGGCCCAAATGCAACACAGATGAATCAAATCAAACAAAAAGATTTCCTCATTCCTCATGGCTTTCAGCCTTTTGAAAGACATAGGAAGCATCCCAAGCACCCCATCAAAACGTAGGGTTCAAGGTTGCAACTGATTGTATTTTCCTTGTCAAAACAAAAAAAAAAAAAAATCAAAGGAGGAAAAAAAATACACAAACAAATTGAGAAAATATATGGGTGAGCAACCGTAGCATTCTTCAAAGCAAACACCACAGAAAAAAAGAACAAACTATAAGCAAACGGTCTTCAGTTGCCTTCTGGAAACTCTTTTGGCTTTCTCTTCCTCCTCAATGGCTTTTGGACTTTCAGTCAGCTTCTTACTTCTTACTGTAGGCTAAAGCTATCCCTTTTTATTTATTTACTTTCACTTTTCTCTATCTTCTTGGTTGTCACAGGCTGAGAAAAACTTTTGTTTGTTATAGGAAAATGGAATCCCCAATCATCAACACCAAATCATAATGAAATGGCAGAAAACACTTATTAGACCTATAAGCAAATCCAATTGCAAGAATCAATTTTTTCCTGTCAAAAAAATCCAATCAATAAACCGAAATCCTATCACTAAAAGAATATCAAGCTCCATTCATTCTAGCCGACGGACTCTTTTTGCCGGGCTACCTTCACCATCAGGATCATTGAATGTAAGTTTTCTCTTAGCGCCAACTCCATTACTGGTAGCAGATGGATCCTCAGGATCCTGATTTGAAGAATATTCTGAGAAAATAACATGCTCTGGTGTCCTAGATTTTCTCATCTCTATTTCCTGCATCATATCATAGCAGGAAAATATATGCTCCTGTATCATCCAATGTAAGATTGGCATTAGTATTTAGTTCAAGTTATACATATGCTTATGTAATAAAGAATAGCAGACCGTCAGAAAAAAGCAAGCTCACATTTTCTCGAGATCCCCAGAATGAAATGAAATTCATCTTGAGCTCCATTTCTTCTTTTGTTAATCGAACGTCAGAAGCAGCTAACGCTGCAGCTGCAGCAATGAAAGATGGTCGATGATCCAGCAATCTCATTTCTGCATTGAAAGATTCAATTCGGTAATGAAGGGGGAAGCAGACAAGGATAGGTTCATTAATATTCCATTGGAAACTACAAATTTGGACTACCTTTTATCATAGCCATGATATGCTCCAGAGCTTTGGAGACTAATCCTCTAGGCCCAGATTCACCATAGAATTTACTGATGAAGTAAGGCAAATAAGCAAAAGGAGTGATAGTACCCATCTTCCACTGCAAGGTACCAAGTACCAATACCTCCATTTTCTTGATCAATGCCTTGTGGAAAATAAAATTTCGTACGCGAAGTTCTGATGAAGGAGGTACTCTGCGCTCCTCAAATTTTGCTGCCAAAAAAAAACATGCTACGGACAACAATCGAGTAGACCATATGTACCCATCCTATATCAAAGTAAATAACATCCAAAGAGCCATTGTCACAAAGGCAATCAAGAAACTCCATCTGGCCATTGTTTACAGAATTGAAAAAAGCTTACATTAATGGGTTTCTTTGCAAGAAACTGGTCATAATATGTCACAGAAAGATAAGCTGTATGGACTTCGAACCGAAAGGTTGCTCTTGTCTGAATCAAAGAACACAAAATCTTGTTCATCAATCTAACCATACCAAGAGAAAGAATAGAAAAGAACCAAAAGATTGAACAAAGAAATAAAGGTTTTGAAAGAAAGAGAAACAAACATTGAAAATCCATTCAATAGCATCCAAGCGAGCACCTCCCTGCCAGCTTTCACTGGCACTTTCATAATGACTAAAAGATGCATTAGTTTTGAATCCCACAGCAATTTCTCTTTGAACCAACTTCTCTATAAACTCATCTTCACCCTCTGTAACAAAAGATGACTTATAGAAGAGAACACTCTCATCATCTTCAAAAACACTTTGATCGATGTCTCTTTCTGTTTCAGAAAAACTAGATACGGTCTCTGGACACAAGAGACTAGAGCAAGAAAGCGAAGTGTCAAGCCCTCCCATTCTTTGAACTCAACTCTGCTCGTACGTCACCAGTGAAAATCTCCAAGAAAAGAACAAAAACAAAACATGGGTCGTTTACCCTACTAGTACTATACTATATGTTAAACTCTGGAATCCACGTTTGAGGGGATTAAGGAAAATCTAGAGAGAGATGGGAATCCGGTAAGTAACCAAAAAAAGGGGGGAGTGAGGAGGAGGGGGAGTTGTTGATCAGAGTTGCGGTTTTGGTGCCGCCAAAATTAGCGGATGATATATAAAGAGGCGTTATTTAGCAGTTACACTGTAGGGAAGACAATGTACCTTTAACTGTACAATTTACAAAGAAAGTATATGGTAGGGTATCCCCAAAAATCCCTCTTTACACTATAAAAATCTCTCCTTATGTTCGGAGAGATTCTGCTATATTTCTGGGTGTACAAATTAATTATGGGAGATTATATTATAGTTATAAACCAGCTCCTTTGAGTATTCCTAAGAATTCAATACAGCTGTGTATAGGTATGGCAAGTTTTGTCCCATTTGAGAATTTAGGGAGCTCCTTTGCTATTGTCAAAAACAAAAGTTTCATGTCTGATAGGTTCATTTCAATCATCATGACACTTGTTTTTTTCTCTGTTTTGCAATTGGAAGTTCTAAGAACTATTTGACAAGAAGGTTACCGTTTTCTCTTTTCATGCATTTAAGCATAACAATGTATTTTAATCGAAATCTTAGAGACCGATTTGGGATTTTCTTTGGTTAGACAATGACATTGATTTGACTGAACAAATTCAGAGTTCCTAGTACTTAGGGAGACAATGGTACGACCTTATAGAACCGATCCTATTCAAGTAAACTGGTGAAGAAAATTTTCAGAGTGTTCAAAATCTGCATTATTCCGTAACAGCTGTAAACGAGTAGAAATGGGGCAATGGCTCCAGATAACAAGTCAACATATATAAATGAAAATTTACCTAAAAGGCTACATTGCTTTGCAATAACTTTTCAACATTCATTTGTACCTATATGATCATTATTGATTTAGTCAATTTCCTTTCTGTTATTGATCGTCATCCAATTAGTAGGACACTATGGAAATAGCCCAAAGGCCTTGCCAGTGATTTCTCCCTCTTTCTTTTTTATTTTTCCAATCAATTAACAAACAGAATAAAATAGAAATACATGTATAACCTATCTGTATGTACTATGTACACCTGCTGGAATGATGGTCCAAACCTTAGAAACAAATACAACTAATCTAACCATTTATTACTTTCTTTTCACCTTTGGATTCTGATAACGGTTCTTTGAACAGTCAGATGGGCTCACTCTGCATCTTGCTAAGCAGCTTGGATTGCCATAATAAATACATTTTATAAGCAATTGAGACTCCACCCTAAGATGTTTCTGACTTATTTGACGTTTGGATTACTTGAAAGCTTTATTAAATTGAATGGTATTTAATAAGAAAGGTGGCAATAAGATTGAGCAGAGCCTCATGAAGAATAAAGTGAATTCTTTTCAAGGGGGGCATGCAGGGTTCTGTCCCTTGGATTTATTTTATTAAGTAAACAGACAAGTAAAATATGTGAATAGAAAATGAAAGTATAGAGATGACACATGATCCAAAAACTGGCACTGTCAAATAATATTATTGGTTAAAATGCATGTTAACAGCTTCTTAACTCAGATAAAACAACATTATTGATTACCAAAATATAGTGAAATGTTGTTGCATTTACAGAATATGCTTCTTTTCAATTTTGTCTCTGTTTTCTTTCATTTATTTTTAACTATAAAAGTATCAGTTTAATTGTTTTTTTCCTGGAACAATTCTAATGAACATGCAGATTTCATGCTGTCAATCATGACAATCATTAAATATATTTGATAGTTAATCGAGGGAAAAGGGTTGCAAGATATGAATATGTACAAGCTGTAAATGTTTCTTTTTCTTTAGTAAATGCTTTTCCTATCCTATTGAGGCATTGAGCTAAGGGTGTAGCATTTATATAAATTTGGTAGCTAACTAAAGAAGGAATGGTTGAAAGTTATGAATTTTAATGTCTCACCTTGGAAATAATTTAATCTATGATTCTTCATTTCTTTAGTTTGGAAAATGGCCATCTAACACAAGTAGCATGCTCTGTAAACTTTGATTTCCACCTTGAAGTTAGATGAGTTCCTAAATAACAGCTTCATTTTTTAATTTTTTGTAAGCTTAACAATGGGAATTTTCCAAACCCAAGACAAACTTTTGCCTAAACTTGCCATCTTTTACATTTTGGTTGGGGCCAACATAGATGAACCCATATATAAGTTGACAAATAGTTGTAACAAGGATGGAGCAATACCCTTTTCTCAATGTTGAGAAAGAAAACCCACATTGTCCCAATGCTATACTACAAGCATATAATAAGGTAAGACCCACAGCATTGTTTAATACTATAATAGAGATTTGGAGGGGGGGAAAAGCATGGATAAAGGGGGGCTAAGCTAAGGGCAAAGCCAAGAAAAGCATTGATAGTTGGTATGATAACACACGTGAAGATAATTGCAGGGGGAGGGTGGGGAGGGAGGAGCGTCTTCACGTGCGAAAGGCTGGACCACTGCTCCAGGCCAGTCTGGTTTTATATGAAGATGAAGACGCTCCTCCTCTATCTAAAGTTGCCCCCCGCTTTGCCTTTGGCCTTTGGCCTTTGCTTGCCAACCCTCTCCCACTAATTGTAGAAAATAAGGAATTATCATTGCCAGGAATTTTAGTATATTTATATTTATAGTGTCTGCAAGGGGGTGCTGTTTTTTAAGGTTGGGTCTTAGTGCTGAGGAATAAAACCCTTGACTGAAAATTTCTTGGGAACTCCCACGATGGTGAGCAGCTTTGACTCTGTAATTTTTAGAAGTTCTACTCACAAATTCTCACAGAGTGCGGTGAAAATCATGGTTCCGATACCATGTCCTTTTCAGTTCTCATTCATGAAATTGCGAGTTAGTCTCTGGACATCAAGACAGTTATTTCTTGTGCATACTGATTACTGTGGTCAGACCGAAAAAACAATCTAGTTAGATTGTGCATGAGACGTATGAAGCTTTTATATGCAAATTTTACATGCATTCATGTATGCCATTGACATACCCTTTATAATATAGAATCCCATTAATGGGTGTTCATTGACATTAATTAAAAGTAGTTAATATATTATGTTCAAAAGTTTATCTTTCATGCACTATCTTAATCAAACTCAAGATGATACGGTGTATTGATTATAATTTTCGTTTCTTTAAATATCACTTTAATTAGTAGTGGGAACTTATTTTTCTAGAAAATAGCCGATTAGAAGTTTACGAGGCACCTGCATCAATGGTGTCGTGGTGTAGTTGGTTATCACGTCAGTCTAACACACTGAAGGTCTCCGGTTCGAGTCCGGGCGACGCCATGTCTTACTTTTGAGTTTCTTTCTGGCATTGGGCTCATTTCCTTGAGCCACAGCTGATGAACCTTCAGTAAAATCCAAGCAAACACTTGCTCATTGCAGCAGCAGCCCATAACCAAGTTTAGACAACGTCCTGGGCTGGTCTAAAGGGATGATACGCTAGCTTCCTTCTCCTTGGCTTTTCCCTGTCATAGAAGTGCTTGTTAACTGTGACAGTGAGTCTCTTATTTTCAACCTTTGAATGCATGAATTCCAGTCTCAACCAATTCATGCCTGAATGTTATCAAATTTGTTGGCAGGGATGATCCAAGAAACCAAAAGGGTATAGAAAATTATTAATACTAAGACAATTAAATTTTTGTTGATCCAATGCGGGGACAAGGTTTGATATTAATCTCAAATCTGAAATCTTCACGCATGTGCATTCTGTCACATTTTTGTCCCTTGTACTTTGAAACGTATCACTGGTGCCAGTGATTGAATCCAATCAATTTATGATTTAAGAATTTAATTTTAATTTGTGGCTCAATTACAGCCAAAATTAATTGAAAAACCAACAAGCTTCTTTTATTACTATCTTCATCTAAATACTAAAATAATTGAGCAGACAGTCTTGCTTGGTGAGCCAAGATTTGAGCCATCTCATTTACACGTGAAAAACTGAAAACATCCCTATCTTGTGCAAGAATTCCCAAAAAGTACTGACCTCGTGACTAAAACCCTGTAATACCCTCCACGCAGAGCCAAGTTACAATGCCACCCATCACCTCTTTGTCCCTTGGTTTGTTTCTAATCACATCAGATCTTTGCTTAGCTCATTGCAACGCCAAAGGGTTGAAAACCCAATTCAAAGTTTGTCAAATTGGGTTTGTAATCACATCAACAAGTTGAAGAGAAAATAGTGATTAAGACGTGAAGAGATGATCGATCGGTAGCTACAAATTATGGGTTAAAATCCTTAAAGAAAAGGTTCTAAAACCTAAAATATTTTGTACATATTACTCACACCTAAGTAGTACCAAACCCATAGTTTGATTTGATCATAGCCATAAAACAAGTTCCATGAAACTAATGATTAGCTTTAAAATATTTACCATCCAAAGCATACGCTTCAAAGATTTTGATCATTTAACGGTAAAGCATGGATCAACAGCTCACAATTACGTGTCAATGTCGTACCAAACTTTCCCCGCAAGTTAATCACACCCCGAAACTTCCTCGTCGTTGATTGGGGGTGGAAGAAGACACAAATGTGTTGAATATGGCAACGTATACCCAAACCAAACACCAAAACAATGGCAAAACGTCTTTGTCTAAACAAGAAGATATGAATCCCCCACGGCGTCCAGAAAATGGACGAGCCAAAATAAAATGGCAGCGCCTGCCGCCCATTTTGCCAGACAGGGAACAATTAGCTGGAAATGGATATTTACCCAAGAGAATTAACGACCATTGAAACTGTTAAACAAGTTGAAACATTATCAAGGACGAGATATATAACGCGGGAAAGCGCGTGGAGAATGACTAGGAAATGACGTGGGAGTGAGTAAGCGAAATCATGCAGGATATTTTTAGGGTGTTTTGCTGACAGATAGAAAGATTTGATCGGAACAGATGGGATTAAGACAGTAATAGTTTGTTTGTTTGTTTGTTTTTTTTTTAAAGCTTCTATTTCCTCGGCGGTCTTTCTTGTCTATCAATTTCTTTGTTTTCTTTCTCTAACCTGTTCTGACACCCGAGCTGGTGGCGTTGGCGGTGGAGCTTGGCGTTGGCAGCTCTGGTTTTTTTTTTTTTTTTGTATATGCTTTTGGAGGAATAGAATCTGACGGTGGTTATTGACGGTTATTTTGGGGACTTTCGAGCGGGAAAGGGAGTGATCATCGCTATTTCCATTTGTTTTTTCCTCGTGCATTTTTTCATTGAACAATTGCGTCAAGAAGACAAGCAAGAGGAAAAGAAAACGGGTATGCTGAACTTATTCATCTGTCTCTCTTTATTTTTCTGATCAGATTTCATTAGAGAATTTGGGAGGGAAAGAAGTTAATTTCTTCATACTGATTTTGCATTTCCAAATTGCAGATAGTTTTGATTAGATTAAAGGTGAAAAGTTAATTGAACTCCCATGTTTTTAATGTTTCCATTTCATGCTTTATTATATATCTTTCGCAATGGTGTTTTCTTTTTCTTGTTTTGGGGACATATGAGAAAATTGAAGGAAAACCAGGATTCAAACACCATATCTTCATCTTAAGGAGGGATAACTGTACCCAGATTAAACTTGAACCGTTTTAGTTATTTGTTTACTTTCTTGTTCATTGATATTTCGATTGATTCTGTTGATCTTGTTTAACTTGGGCTTGCTTTGTAATCTGAATCTTCTGTCTAACTTTGTATTTCAATTTTTCAAAGTGTTCTATCTATGCAAATTGTGACACACTTTTGATTTTGAGTCACTTATCAAAGTTCTGCTATTTCAATCTTTTTCAGATTCTTTTTCTCCAAGAAAAAAAAAAAACAAAAACAAAAGAACCCTGAGTGTGGCTGTTACTAAAATCCTCCAAAAGGGAAGTTTAGAAGCCAGTGGGAAAGATGGAAATGAGTGCCAACCAACCTCCTCAAGACGCCAACAATATTTGTCCAGTGCCACCTCCATTACCTGGTCCCGCAACAAATTGTGGGCGAAAGGCGTTATTTATGATGAATGGATCACAAACAAGAGGATACAGCTGTGTCTCTACAGCCACGAGGGATTCGTGGGATAGCCTCTTTGATGGAGGCTATAGGGCTGATGTTGCCATTAAAACTGATAATGGTGGCATCGTCTATGCCCATGCTAATGTTCTTGTAAGCCTCCTGTATTCCTTCTTTATTTATTGGTAGTAAAAGCTTGTTTAATGTGATGCATCCTTGTTCTCTTTTGAGAAATGCGCCAAGAACACGAAACTTTGATTTTTTTTTACTAGTTGAACACTCTCAAGTCATCACACTGATGAATTTAATTAAGCATTTTTTGGGTGTCTTAATACACAAAGTGCCTGAATATGCAAGTCTTAGGCCATAGAGGATGATGCATCCTCTCGACAAGTAATAGATATGGACATTACAAATGAAACCTTGGTTAGGGCTGTGACATTGCTTCATTAGCATGTTTAATCCTTTTATCCTAATCTGCAAAAAAGAATCCACATTGGCCCTTTCTCTTTGTATCTTTCAGGGATCAAGTTGCTAAGTGTTTTAAATAAATAGGAAATATAAGCAAATGTGACTGTTTTGCATGCTGACGGAGTATCTTAAAACAAATTATTGACTCAATCTGTTTGCCGGACATTTTGCCAACAGGGCACGGCTTCTCCTGTCTTAAAAGGCATGTTGAAACAAGCAAAGGGCTTTGGTAAGAAGAGATCAATTACAATCCATGGTGTTCCACAAGATGTAGTTCGAGTTTTCATCCGATTCTTGTACTCTTCCTGGTAACTACTCTTTTCTCATAGGAGATCTCCTTCGAATACAATGTTGTGAACCAGTGAAGTAAATGGAAATTACTAGTTATCTTGACACAGGACTTTTACATTTTTGAGAAAATAACATTATGTTCAAAAGATAAAAAATGCCAACTCTCAATTATAAATAAAAAAATAAATTTTAGGTAAAATATTGATACTGCCAAACTGCTCTTTGGTTATTCGGTTTTAAGACCGATGAAGAAATCAGTGCCACTGAGATCTTGTGCTTGGATCATGCTGCTACCATGTGCTAATTGTTATTGGTTTTTATTTGTAGTTATGAGAAAGAGGAAATGAAGGAATATGTCCTGCTATTGTTGGTCCTCTCACACGCATATGTTGTTCCTCAGTTGAAGCAAATTTGTGAACAGCACCTAGAGCATGGCTTGCTTACTATAGAAAATGTAATTGATGTTTTCCAGCTTGCTTTACTGTGTGATGCACCTCGGCTTTCTCTGATTAGTCACAGTATGATCCTAAGCAACTTCAAGGCTGTTTCTGCTACTGAAGGATGGAAAGCAATGAAGAAGAGTCATCCAGCACTTGAAAAAGAACTTCTGGAATCCGTGATTGATGAAGAAAATGTAAGGGATTTCTTTATTTTTCTTTCTCAAGTCACTTTATAGCAGTTCTGCTTAAAGCCCCTCGTTTTAGAACTTTGATAAAAATTCTAAAGCCATTGTTAAACATATTTTTCAGATGCGAAAAAATAAAATCAGAAAATCAAATGAGAGGAAGATCTATCTTCAATTGTATGAAGCAATGGAGGCCCTTGTTCATATTTGCAGAGATGGTTGCCGGACAATTGGTCCACATGACAAGGATTTCAAAGAGGACCAGGCACCTTGCAATTATGCAGCCTGTAAAGGACTAGAATTGCTTATTCGTCACTTTGCTGGTTGCAAGTTGAGAGTTCCTGGCGGCTGTGTTCATTGCAAAAGAATGTGGCAGCTACTGGAGTTACACTCCCGTCTCTGCGCTGATTCAAGTTTGTGCAGAGTTCCTCTGTGCAGGCACTTATTTTCTTTTGTTCTTGTCCTCGAATGGCATGCTTTGATGTCAATTGGTTCACTGAAATAACTAATCCAATCTGCATAAATCAGTTATTTATTTAGTCTATAACTGAGACTATTGAAACTTTTCATTTCAGGAATTTCACGGAGAAGATCAGGAAACAAAGCAAGAAGGATGAGATCAAGTGGAAAATGCTAGTGAAAAAGATATTGAGAACAAAGAGAATTGGAGGTGCGCCATTCTTTGTGTCCTTAAATTCCATCTCTTCATGACAAACAAAGCCTAGGTCTCCAACATCCTGATTCATTTGTAAATTAATCTCAAACTTTGTGCCCCGTTGCGTAAATTATAAAGCAAATGAAGAATCACTCCCTTCCCAACACTTTGAGAAGTGATATCAGATATGCATCGTGATCAACATAGTAGCCTTATTAAAAGACACCCCAAAAAATTATTGACAGACAACTTCTCAACCGATGAACCCTTTTTCCCTCACTTTCTAACCACAAATAAAAGATCCAAGAGGTGGGTAATTGTCAATTACTGAAAAAGTTGAGATGGGTGAAAGGATTCTTGATGAGCCAATTTGAAAGATTTGATTTGAAACATATTTGTCAGGTTGTTTGACAAAATTTTTAATGATGTCACATTCATCACATGTGAGGATGTTTGGTGGATCCAGGATGGAGAATCACACATTAGAAGCATATGGCAATCGCTTAAATGAATGATCCCTTTCAAAGTATTCAAAAGCAATTATTCTTGTGGGGAAATGTAGGCCTAAACAAATTGATTGATCCAAGAGCCTTCATCTTCAAAAGTCACCGAAATCTGAGCACACAAACTTTTGTAATCCAGCCACCTTTTTCTTTTCTGTTTCTGCTTTTGGGGAGGGAGGGGGTGGGTGGCTGAGACAAACAGGATCCAGCATCAATTTTTCGTTTCCGGCTTTTTCGATCAAGCCTCAACCTTGTTGATGCATTACATGGATGACCAATTCATCAATTAACTAATGGTCAACAATCTTTATACTCTTTAATTTTATTTAATATAGTCTCTATATTCAAAAACGAAATAATTTAATCTCTTGATTTTGAGAATTTTATCAATTTAATCCATCTCTTAACTATATTTAATTTTATATGTCAACAATGACGTGTCACATTTTAATAACGTGACATCTCACGTGGCACTATACGATGATGTGGTAGTATTTATGTAATACTGACATGCTAACATGTCAGTGCCATATGACAAATCAAAAAAGATTTAAAAAAATTTTCTCTGCTAAGTCATAAAAACTAAATTAAACAAAATATATAGCACATTGACTAAATTGAACAAAATTAAAATATTGAGGGACTAAATTGAAAAAAATTTGAAAGTACAAATCTTTAAGTAAATTATTGATATGCTTATCAATAAGCCAAATATATAAGTGTAAAATATTTATAGTGTTAAAAAATATATATATAAATATTTTATTACTTGATTATTTGATTCTAGAATATGTAAATTAATTTATTTTTTTTACAATAATTAAGTTTGAATTCTCCTTCGATAAGAAAATTTTAAAAAAATTTCATACTTAAAGTCAAATTTAGATGAATAACTTGCTTTACGTTAAAATAAAAAAATATAAAATGACTAAATATGTTGATTTAATTACAATTTTCACAATTTACAAATACATATTCTTTTGAAATTATTCAATTCTTACCCAATTTACTTTTTATTTAAATTTACTCAAATTAGCAAAATATGTTGATTTAGTTATAATTTTCATAATTTCCAAATACACATTCTTTTACAATTATTCAACTCTTACCCAATTTACTTTTTATTTAAATTTACTCAAAATTTCTTATAAAACGAATTTATTTAAATTCAAATACCACAGTCAAATTTTGTTAAATTTAATTTTAAAATATTAATTTGGATTTACAAAAAATTTGTTAATAAACTAAAATGGTACAAATATTTATAGTTATATTTAACTTTATCAATAATAAATACAGTCTTTAATCTAAGAAATTTTAACTTAAAAAATATACCTTGAAATATTAAACAAAATAAAAACATAATAAATAAATAAAAAAATTAAAAATATGGAGCTCAAATTTTATGATTGTAATAAGATGTTTTCATATTCAAATTAAGCAAATCAAAATGAAAAATTATTTTTATAATCATTGTTAACTCTATATCTATTTATACGGAAGGTAAGTTTTACACTTCTTTTTCTTATTCTGTTTATAGCTCTTCTAATTAATAATTAGAATTACATAGTAAACATCATACACCGTTCATTTAGGATTTTAAGATGGTTTTATGAGGAGTGATCAAGGGCCTTTATTAAGGTTATTTGCTTAAAAAAAATATTTTTACTGAATATTATGAAAATTGTTATATTCATAATCATCAATTCAAGTTATTCTTTAATAATAATTTTATATTCATCAGTAGTAAAATAGTAAGTCCATATATCTCTTTTTCTTTTTTTCAAATAGAAAACACATATATGCACATACATATCTATTTATAAATTATTAATTTTTTATTTTATTTCTAGGATCTTTTTAAAAGCTGAAATAATTTGATAAATAGAAAAAGTCAATCAAAGTAGGAAATTTTAAATTTAAAAATAAAATTAAGATTTTGATGTATCAATGTTTCAACGCGTGATAATATGTGTTTCACTATTCTCATATGAAATTAGGAAGGACAATCTAATTTAAATGTGATGGGTTTTTATAAATTATCATTTTTGTAAGATTGAGAAAAGTGAAATTTGAACTTTATTCTTTAAGTAGAGAAATTATACACCAAATAATGAATCAAATATTCAAATATTCTTATAAATTATCATTAATATTAATTATAATTAAAAAGAATTTTTGTTAAAAAAATATTTGCAGACAGTGAGTTTGGATTTATTTTTTCTCCACCAAGTCAAAAAATAAGTACAAAAACTAAAAAGTCAGGTCGAGTCGGGTCGGATGGATCAAAATCCGACACGATCGGACCGTTGCCATGTGGAATGTTTGCTCCCTGATGCATTTCGTATGTACAACATGACATACCCTTTCCCTCCAAGAAATTGTCCTTCTCTAATGTAAATTTCCCTCCCATACAAACCTACTACATTACAGTTTATTTCGTCAACCATCCATAAAAAGGAAGTGGAGGAAACAGAACATCAGAACAAGGGCTTTGAAACTTCTCCGGGTATGTTGTCGTTATAAATTTTTGGCTCACTTTAAAGCTTTGTTTTGCTTACCATATCCTAATATAGAAAAACCCGTGACATAACAAAAACCTTCCTTAAAAATGGGAACTGTTCTTTTACTTCGTTCTGGCATTTTAGCATTCATTTGGTGATCAATAGCCTTTAAAGTTTCATGCTGATAAGCTAAACTCAATATATATATATATATATATATATATAGTAACTTTCTACAAACTAGAAAACCAAGACTTACAGATACAGAATCAGAGATTGGTTCAAAGCAGAGCAATGTTGCAAAACTGCTAGATATATTATTAGTAATTGTCAATAAATGCAGACCATGGCATAAAGAAATAACGAAAACATTCTTCTTTTTCTCAAAAATGTATAGGAATCTGATCTAAAAGAAGAAATCTTGAATCTTAACTATTGCACGTGTGTTGAAGTAAAAAAAAATTACATATGTTGCTTGTTTGTTTCTTTGGACCGGCATGTTCTTCATTCGGGTCATCCATTTCATTGCCGGATGTAGATGATGGTACGCTTCAGTTTTCCCAAAATCTATCCTTATTATTACATAGTTTCTGGCCTGTGGACGCTACAAGGCTTTCCATTCTTATACAAAGTGAGCAACATGAGATTCTCCTTATGGAAAAGGGCATACCTCATCAGCCAACAGCTTTGTCTCCATGTGAAACTGAAAATTCAGTTGATATGCTATGCTTTTCATTTCGTCATTATTATACTTTTTGCATGCTTGTAATGGAAAATGAGACATATTTTTGCTGTTGGTTCATTTGGAAAAAGAGTGTAACCGCGGGAGTATGAACTAATTTGACATTCTTAGGGCTGTATTCACACAACTTCATGGAGACAAGCTTTCATCATCTGAACTTCCATCTTGTCTCACATTATACCTGCTGAGAACTGGTAGTGAAGCCGTTGCAGATATCCGAAAGGATCTGGCAGAACCCACCATTGTCCTATCCTGCATTCGCCCTACTTCCTTGCAGACATGATCCAATATTGACAGAAAATCTCTTACAATCATGAAGATTCTGAAAGGATGGGCTTCTTCCTTTGCTGCATTCCCGTGAAAATAATCAGTAACTTCTTTCACAAGCAACAAAGCTTTTATTTCATCTGCCTTGATCTTAGCAATCTCCTCTTCAGCATCTCTTAGAAACATCTTCATCGAGTTGAAGAAATTCCCCTGCATATCTGGCCTCTCATATTGTAAAACCAATCTGACCTTTTCAAGTCCCATTTCGAGCTTTGACACATAACTGCTGAGGACATCTGAGTCCATTCCTGCAGCCTTTTTGACATTGCTGAGGTCTCTGCTCAGCCCAGCCACAACCTGCAGTCCTTGCTTCCTGAAATCATCCTCCTTAAAGCTGGAGGACATTTTGTTTTCAACATTCTCATCTGTTGAGTTATTACCTGCCCCTTCTGATCTAATGATCTCCTGAACGACAAAGTGTAGCAGTGTTGTTTTCCCATCTGTTCCCTTTATATCAACCAGTTTCAAAAGGGTATCAAGTTTAAAAGCTTTAGCATCACCACGATTGGTGCCAACATTCATCCGGTTTCCTGTCCTCAGAACAGCTTCAAGGAGTTTGAGGAATAACCTGCTGTTCTTCAATTCCTCACTTGCTTCCTGCAAGTACATGGAGAGAAATGAATTTTTAGGAGCCTTTACCAGAGGGTTTTTGGAATTAATTAATGTGAAAGTTTTAGGATATTTAAGTCACAAGACTTAAATTGTAATACCTCAAGGGTTTGAAAAGACTTCCTCAAGTATTTTACTTCTGTATCAAAGTTGGCTCTATATAGCATGGCTTCAACTCTTCTGAAAGCAAAGGGGATATCAAGTACTGCCTTGAGAAACCTTTCTGCAGATCCTAGTTTTGAGATGTCCCCACCGTACTCTCGGAGTTTTATTTCTTCCTCCTTCGTTGGAGCCATCTTTACAAGCGTCTCCAAAAGCTCAGCACCTAAGCTTTCTGGATTACCTGTTAAGGCAAACAGAACAGCGTGATGTAGCAAACCGAAATTCAGGATTTAAATAGACAACTATTTGCAAAATTGAGGCCCATAATTGAGTCGGAAAGCACCTTCTCATCTTCTTTTCTTAATCTATATATTTCTGCATTGTGTTTATGAAGAGCAATGCACCTTGCTTTAGATACCACTTATGCTCAACTGCATATATCTTGTCATAGGCTCCTATGTATGGTCTCATCTTATATATACATTTCCACTTATGTGTGTATACATATTTTAATTTTGAGGAAGAAATCTGTATATATGAAACAATAAATTCATAAAGGTTTTCTAATAAAAATATAAGGTAACTGTTCATTTTCCGTCGAGGTGATAGTGAGCTGCTTAGAAAATGGTTATCAGAGGAACTTTGACACTGCCTTGCTTGAAATGATCAGATTATACCTTTTTGAGGGCATTTCAAAATTATAAGGCATTAGAACATAAGAATAACTGACTAGAGCAGAAGTGACATAACAACAGTAGCAAAATGAATGAAATTGAAATGAGTCAACAGCCCTCGCCTGGAAAAAGAAGGAATGAAAAACACTTTGAAGCAATTTAAATGTAAACAGAGACACTGGTAATTTGTTTAGCCTTACTCTACAGAGCACAGATGCAAAGGTAGGGTCTGAGAGCTTTGAGCATGAGCAGTATAATGATCCTGAAAATAATATTCCTTGATAAAATGGTTTTAAGGTGTGGGAAGTAATTTAAATATTCTTCTAGTTGTTTTATGACATGATGACTCATTAAAAATCCTCTGAATGGAGCAATGTATTCATGTTGTCATAGATTTAACATGGAAAGGCATTTTAAAAGACTTGAAAGTCAATGTATCAAATTCTTAACGGAGGAAATGATCCAATGACTACTGCAAATAGATACTGATTAGATGAGGTGAACACTATAGGATGTCAATTAAACTAGTCAATGCAATGTAAATCAAGATATGAACAGCCAGAGTTTACTGGTTACTTTAAAATATTCTAAATTCTAGCTGCTAAAATATATGCATGGTAAAATATTGTAGAGGATGGGTTTTTCAAGGACATGGTCGTCCAATGTAACTTTAAGTCTTTATTTTTCTTTCCTTCAAAGTTATTATTATTATTCATGATGAAAACTAACATAATGATACAAGTGGCCTTATATGGCTACAAACTATTTTTTCCTGCTCTCTTTAAGTGCAATGATAATGACTTGTTAATTAAGTTCTTCAACTCTCATTTCTGATTTTTATATATTTAACTAATTTGTTGTTTTTCGTCTTTGGTTGACACAAGAGCTGGAGCTGCAACCCAGATGTCGAATTTTGGGAACTGGAAATGTATTTATATGCATGGTTGTAACTATATGTTTGAGCTCAAGAACCTATCAGCAAATGACATCAGGTTGCTAAAACGTGGTTTACTTTAAGTTACTCCAATCTCAATGCTTGCTGTTAAAGGAGACCCAAACAGCAAGCTGCCAATTGTTGTGCTTCTTTGGGAGAAGTGAAAACCAAATAAATATTTGGCTCTTAAGCCCTAAAGCAAACCTTCTCAGAAAAAGAGAGAGAAAGATGAAGATGAAGAAGGAAAGAAAGACAAATTTTTCATCATACCTAAGAACCTGATTACTGATAGAAAATGGAAAAGAATGATACTTATGACTTACCATCCAAAAGAGCTTCTGACACCTCATCTCGTGTTACATTCAGTGCTCTCAACAGTATGGCAATGTTCTGTGACTTCTTCGGATCCAACACTCTGTTTTCCTGTTCAACAGGAGGCAGAACTGATCTTCTAATAGGTTCTTTTGGTGCTGAATTCGCGGAATTGCAGCCAAAAAGAGTCTCCATCATGTCCTCGTTTAATCTGCAGACAAGTATAAGTTTTGCCACAGGATTAGATATTGTACTTGAAACTCAAGCCCCAGTCAGGAAATGTACAAGTTTTATCTCTTACTGAAATGAGCTTGATTTTAGCTGGTCCCACACTGTAGCTCGCTCCGAGGTTGCTCGTACTTTGTCCCAGTGCAAAGGCTTTAACTTGGGCTTTGCACTATCCATGTCATCCTTATCAGTCTTCTCTGAAGAACTGGCACCTTTATGATTAACCTCTTCCGTTGATTTTCTAGTCCCACCTCCTGCACTATTTTTCGGACTTGGAGTCCAGGATTCTTGCTTTTTCAACACTTGGGCAGGTTTTGGAGACACATTGGTTTCCAAAGACCTTGCTGTCCTTGGTATTGACAGTCCTAGTGCTGCTGGTGGCGGCGGACGGGGCGCTGGCGGCGGTGGAGGGGAGGTGGAGGTGGAGTTTTGTTCTGAGTGGGGGTGAATTGTTGCTAATTGATCTAAGTAGTGCCATATTTGGAGGAGGTGGTGGTTTGGAGGAGAATTTTGGCCTTTTTGCAAAAGTAATTTCTTGAGTCTCATGTGGCTCCACTACTAGAACTTGTGGTTGTTCAGGATGCAGCGGCGGCGGCGGCGGCGGTGGAGGAGGAGGAGAAGGCTGGTGCTGCAGCGCTTTATTGAGGGTATAATAACATGCTTCATTTCTGGTGAAGAAGCTAAAAGCCTTGATTTTGGAGATGTTCGTTTGGAACGAGGAACAGAATTGGTATTCCCTTTTATCTCATTCCTCACTGGAGTCACCAAATTGCTATTAACCGGACGTGAAACCGGAGTATAATAGCTTTCTTCGTTGCTGATTGTTGAGCCCTGTGGGGTATAAAAAGCTGTCCCCTGACTCTCTTCATCTGAAGAAGAAGATGAAGATGACTTGCAGTTGGTGAATTATCAAGTGCAGGAGGCTTAGCCAAGGGTGGCAACGGCTGCAATTCAGGGCTCGGCCGATACCGATCCGATCTTTTACTGAATTCAATTTATGATATGGTGAAACATTTGCTCCATTCACTTCACTCGCAGATCTCCTACTAGGCTCCACCGTTCCAATGTAAAGAAAACTCGAGGGGGGCACCCTGGAGTCTTCCTGGAACCTTTCTGAATTCCCTCCAACAAGCTTCTGCGTTTCTCCAGGGTGTTTAGCCCTGTGCCGGTACAAAAAGAAAGCAAGTCCTGATAACATTCCCAACGTGACAATCCCGACAGATATTGCAATGCAACCTTCTTAGCTGGTTTGGCTGGTTGTGTTGCTGTTGGGATTGGAATTGAGCCATTGGATGGTGCAGCTGGTGGTGTTGTCTGTTGATTCTGATCTGGGTCTGTCCTGAAGGAACTTCAGGGAAGAATGGCTGACTGGGGTCTGGAAAAACAGGACTATCCGGAGGAGGAGGAGGTGATGGTGGAGATAAAGAACTGTCAGTGCCTGGAGGTGGGGCTGAACCTGCTGGAAACAATGGTTGGTGGAGAATTCTTCTATGAATGATAAAATCTTGAGAAGAAGAAGAAGAAGAAGAACTTTTTGTTGTTGATGTAGACAATGATAGTAAGATGAAAAAGATGCTCAAATGATGAGCTCTCATCGTGAATTTTTCTGGGTCGAAGATCTTCTGTTCTTTTCTTCTTTCTCCAAATTCATCTCTGGGGGGACTTCGTTTCTCTTTTCGAGCCTTCGCAAAAATGCAAAACACAAACAAAGAGGAAAAATAAAAATACAAAAAAATCCCTGTTTTAGAGAAAAAAATAGAAAGAGAGAGAGAAAGGCATTAAACTATTTAGTCAGGGAAGCTTCTTTTTGCTGCAAGATCTGGATGCCCCTCCAAGTAGCTGAGGTAGGCAAGAGCCGCATTCTTTTTCTTTTTCTTTTTTTTTTTTTAAGTTTTTTCACCGTAGGGCTCGGGGAAATTATGGTGTGGGAATGCCACATGGGAAGCAGAGAATCAACTTTGGTCTTCAGGGGTTCTTTTCAAAATAAATGGACGATAATGACCATGCCAATGCTGAAATAAAGGCCCACGTTCATGTCCTTTTTTGTCCATTGAGATAAATGTCCAATTCGTTTCTTCTTTCGTCGGGATCGAGAAATGCAGTGGCACATATTTCATAAATTTTTTTTTCCGCTTTGTTGCCGTTAAATCCTGCTGGCCACTGCCCAACTTTAGTACTTTAGAGCCTAATGGTGACACTACAAATGTTTCATACTGAAAACATAAAGCATTTGAGGTTGTCACTGAAACCCTTTCTGCAGTCCAAATAGATAAACAAAGATCTACGAAATAAAAATATATTTTTATTTTATTATAAAGTAAAATCATAACATAATATAATTTTATTTTTAAGTACAAATTTTACATTTATAGAAAATTTACTTTGCCTTTTTTACCCTTTTGTGTGGTTTTCACAGTGATGTAACATATTCGACATTGTTTATTAGTGAAGCATGCTTCTTTATCTCAATAATAATATCAAACCCCATATAGATTACTTTCTGCATTAGGCTAAAATTAATTTGGAAATAAAAATTAAAGAGGGGAGGCTCTTTGGATCATCTTTTATAATTCGAAAAGAAACTTTGTAAATGAAATTCAATCCTCCTTTTTCCAATTTCCATGACTAAATAATGCCAACTACTTCCCTAAACTTAGCCCTCCCCAATCTCAAAATGGGTATTCACACTTCCCTCTCCTCCTATGGAACTAATAATATAATCCATATATACATTCTTTCAACATCTTTTTAATTCATTTAATTGCAAAAAAAAAAAAAAGAAAACCATATTTCTGTTTTCCTATTCGGGATCTTGGTTTAATATTATTTTTGCTCGGTTGGTTTGATTGATGGTTGGTCTCTGATATGATTACTAAGGATGGTGACATTCAATTATGCACAATTATAACATTGCATGTTGAATTGTTGATCTACATAATAATATAAGATCAATAATGAAAAAAAAATTCGTTAAGGAATAACGTAAAATGTACGGGAAGCATATGGGAAATGGTGAGGGCCAGAGGACTTGAATGTAATTTTGGAAAAAGAAAGGGTGATGGGTGAGTGAGTGAGTGACTGAGTGAGTTAATTTCAGCTTTCTTTTTCTCGCTATGCCAAAGATTGATCCATCCACCGACCCTCTCTCTCGCTATTGGGGGAGGGGACATGCACACGCCCTATCGCCTTTGCTTTTTCGCTTTTCTTTTATCCTTTTTCTTCTTTTTGCTGTGCATTTTAATTTGTAAAATGGGACACCACCGCCATTTCTGGGAAGACAATATTATCCTTTTCTTTTTAACTGCTGTATGTGCACATTCTTTTCTTTCTTATTGGGATTATTGTTTATTATTTATTGAAAGTTCTGCCTTTTCAAGTTAGGGCACTGTCATTCTCAATTACCATCTATGTTTCTTCTTTAGAGGTATTTCTTTTGCGTAAATTCATTTTATTTACATTAATTGGCTGAACTCCAAAATAAGATGACGTACAAATACTATAAATTTTAAAAAGAAAATAAAATTTAACATAATACGTGATTAAAATTGTTGTTTTTTGAAGTGGAAAGATGAACTAATTCATCATATACAAATTCTTTTAATACATAAGATATGATGTTATTCTTAAATTATTGCATTGGTCACTTTGTCAAATTCGATTTTGGAGGCAAGAAGTTTGTATGCCCTTAATAATTTACTTCCTTGGTCCATTGAAAGGACAAACAGCTGAATTTATTTTGCTGCCAATGTGGGCATTGCCGTTGGAGGCATCAATTTCGTTACAAACTTCCCAAGGTAGGTAGAACATTACAAGCCAATGACTACAATATTATAATAAAGGAATGCAAATAAATTTCATTAATTTTGCCATATGCTTTAGGCATCTGGACAAATTCGTCCTAACAAACTTGTACTATAACTGGATGCCACTTTCCAAGATTGTTTGATATACTATTGAAGGTATTTAATTTATGTTCCTTTACCAATTAATTTTATTTTCATGTCCAAGTTCCATTTTACATGTGCATGATTCATGCTATGTCTCAATTTCAAATCATTGAATGGGGTTGGTGTTATTAAAGAAATCTTCTTCTTCTTTGTTTTTTTTTTTTTTTGCCAAAATCCTGCATTTTTCTTTTGTTCGAATGACCCAAATATATGTATAATATATATATATATATATATATATATATATATATATATATATATGAGGAAAAGATGTTAATAGATTCTGCAAATGAGGCAGGAACAAGGAAAAGCCGACTAGCCTGTTGCAACCAAAGCACTGTTAACCGACAATTTTGAAGGATCGATGGCCATATGATGTTATACTGCTGTTGAGCAGATCGTCAAAGAAAGAGACCTTTGGAGATGTTTAATTAGTGCTTAAAGCTAAATTATATAAGATAAATCAATAAAAAGGAGTGTTAAGAAATATATATATATATATATTTATTTGGGTTGTAATAATGAAAAAGTTATTTTATTTATAAAATTAAAAATAAATAAATAAAGAATGTGCAATAATGAAATTATTGGTGGGAATATATGCCGGAGGATAGCTAGCAGAGCAGAGGGTTTTGTTACTATATATTTTGGGCCCTACAGTAAGTCGGCATTCAATGGAAATTTACGGATTATTGGGTAACAGTAGATCAGCGTACAAGTAGGCCTTTCTTTTTGGGGGTTTATTAGCTAATTATGTCGAATTCCATTTTTATATTTCTCCTGCCATTTTTTTATTTGTCTTTTTATTGTTGTGAATCTCAAGTTGAACATTAGATGACAAAAATTTTTGATTTTAATGGCCAGAATTAGCAACAATTGGTAGAGTAGTATCCTTTTCTGGAGATCAAAAAAATGGGGGGAAAATTAGATTTTTCATAAGCAAAATTCCAAAGAATTAAGAGTTCCTTGGTTGCCAAGCCAATAAATTTTTCATCTGCTCTTTAAAAGCGACTTAACATGTAAGTTTTTGACTATATTTATCAGTACCTCAAATTTTCTTTTGGATGAAGTCAGTGCAGAGAGTGGTTGAAATTTCATGCAGCACGTCTGGCATCTGGCTTTTTTGCTTGGTAGCTGTGCAATTTACCAAAGTGCAAGGCAAGGTGGGTGCTTGCTGACTCAAATTCAGAAAAAAGGCTTGTGCAGAGGTTAATTTCTTGTTCTTGTTGGGCACTTTTGGGGAAGAAAAAAAAAAGGGGAAAATGACTAAAATCACACCATTGAATGAGCTTGAACAAGTAGAAATTTGCGTGCTTTGTTTTCTACCTTGGAAAAGGCTGGCAAATTGACTGGGATTGGTCATGGTCTAAACATGGAGACAATCTGTCTCATTGTGATGGGTTAGCACTCAGCAGTCACTTGCCACATCCCTACTCACAAAGTTATAGGAAAGATTGATCATTGATGTGAGATACTCCATTCCTTTTTTTTCTAATTTCCATGATATTGTAGCATTGTTAAATCATCTGCCAATGGCAAAACAAGTAACAAGCTCTTAAAGAAGAGTGTTTAAATTCCTCCTTAATATTTACGAACTCTTTTTTTCATTTGAAAAACTTTAACTAAACTATACGCTTTACTAAGAACAGTGTTAGAAGTGAAGGAGTGTAGCAGAGTCAGCAAATTTGGTGCATAGAGTGGAAGGCACGAAAACTTTTTTCTCTTCTTTTCTTCACCGTCCCTGATCTAGCTCACAAGGCAAACATGCCTTTTCCTTTATTCTCTTTTGGTTCCCTATGTTCTAAAGCAATACTTAACCAAGCAGCTTGGACTACTAAGTTGTAATTTCGATCTCCTATGATATTCAAAGTTGGAAAATTAAAATATTTTAGTCTTTGGGATGGGTATCTTTGGAGTCAATTCTTTCTTTATTTTTATTTTTGTCTTCATTGAGGATGCACCTTAATTTCTTACCTTTTCACCAAACTCCCTCCTTAGCAAAAGGTGAAAAGTAAAAGACAAAATTAAGTAGAATAAGGTATATGGATTGTCTTCTTCTGCTTATCTTTTGATTATTATAGATTATTTTTAAAGCTAAGATCGTCTGCAAGTGGCTTGAACTCATGCACAAATTACATGAGTTTTGGGAAGTACTTATTAGAGAGCTAAGATTGTTTGCAATTGACTTTTAAAACAATTTTAGAGAGATAGACTTGTGGTAAGTACTAACCAGAAGCTTCAAGTGGAGATGGCAATGGATTATCCTAACCCAAAGCTTCAAATTAGTATAATGGATTCTTATCAGGAGAGAAAGCAATGAGGTTGAGCATTCAAATTCAATAGCCACACATGGCCTTAGCATTCCCCATTTTGAATACTGAAGAAACTAACCCTCCTGGACATGATGTGCTACGAAACTAATAAAGTTGAACATGGGTAATTGACAATTGTTTTGAACCAAATCACAAGCCAAAAATTAATAATAATTTGACCAGGAAAGGGTTAGGTTCTGCAAGTCTACGAAACTAGTCTATGACATGTATGTGTCAGTGTCATATTGACCAAAACAAGCTTAGGAAATCCCTAGTTGCCGTACGGGGAGAAGGCCCAGTTTCACAGGGCCGAATACGGATTACTTTAAACACCTCTAAAGGCCTAGGGCGGCAACATGTGGGGTTTCGGGTTGTTGGAATGGGTTCTGGTTTTCAATTTCGACATGTTCGAGTTGGAACAATAACTTATCCTATTTTACTGTTTATAAATAGAAAGGTAATAATTAGAATCAAGTAATGATGAGGGTGAATATCATGCTTAGACTTGTTAAAAAACTCTATGTGAACTTCAGGGTTAGGGTGATTTAGATTTTGAGTGAGTTGCACGATTCAATCGGGTTGGATTACCATTCTTTTATCATATCGAAACACAAGCAGAAATACCAACAGAACATCAAGCTTCCTGCCTTTAGGGTTTTTAGTCAGACCTGTTAGAGGGGTGATCGAAGAGTGTAGGGACTCATTTTTGCTTCAATTAGCAACAAAAATGAATGGTCCATGAAATTCCACCGAAAAAAAGGTCGGAATCAAAGATCAAAAAGCTCATGATCATGAATTCATCCTCTCCAGTATTTGGCTTGGCTGTCAAAATTTTCTCATGATGGATGGTGGTGTCTACCGTCCGGTCAGCTGTCTCCACACTCTGAGCCTCTTTTTTATGGGCCCGCACTGAGACCTGTTCCTGTCGTTACCTTTTATGAATTCTCTCACGGTAATCGAGCCGACGTCGTTTTAAAAGCAAGTTTGTCTTTGCATAACAAAGTAGTAACAACGGGTCCACTCCAGATATTCTCCAAGTGCTTTTAGATGATAATACAAATATAAGAAACAGTATCGATTCCATAAAGCAGAGAAAAAGAAAAAAAAAAGGAAAGAAAGAGAAAAGGGGAAGGACAACTCTCTCTCTCATCTGTATAGAGTGGGGTTGGGGTCTTTAGCAACGGGCACTGCCAAAGCTCACACTTCCCACACCAATGCACAGTCTTTTTGTTCTTTGGTTTCACGCGTCCGAATGCTCAGTAACAAAATTGACCCTTCTCTTGAACGTTCCAAGATTTCGCAAATTTTCTCTTCTGTGCTGTTTTAGCATGCAATAATGCATTGCTCGTACCCCTTCTGGGTTCACTTCCTTAGGTCTCTGTTAGTCTTGTACTCTTTGAGTGTGGTGAAAAGCTAATAGAAAAATAGGTATCCCTGGTGGATATATAAAATTGGCTTTAACAAATGGCTTCTTTTGTACACTTCAAAGAGTAAAAAAGCTAGTTGACATAACTTGTACAGGGAGGGAGGGAGGGAAGGGAGGGAGTGAGAGACACAGGGTGGGGTTTCAAGTGTTTTCAAGAGTTTTTAGAGTTCCCAAGTGTTCAACTCCGTCCCAACCCAAGTTCATTTTCAGATCTTTACTGTGGAAATGCTGAAGATGGGGTTGATCTTTTGCTTTTCCTTTTTCTGTTTTCTGGGTCTTACTGGTAAGTAAAAGAGTAAAACTTAAAAAACCCAAACCTACAGACAGTTTTCAAAAATGTTTCTTTTCATGTCACAATGTGGGTTCTTTTTCTTCTTCATCATCTTTTGAAAAATTTTCATCTTCTTTATTTGCAGGCGCAGGTCAAGAATATATTGAATACCTTACCCTTTATGACGCAACTCCAGAGGTTGTTCACGCATTGTCTCACAGTGGTCTTCCTGTAGCAGTTCCTGTGAGTGGCAATGTCCTCAGCGAGGTCTCTAGCAGTGTTTTGAAGGCTGAGAGTTGGCTCAGGCTCCATGTTCTAGCTCACTATCCAGCTACCAAAATCACTACCATTCTTGTGGGCGACACTCTTCTCTGTCAAAAGGATCAAGAAGACAGCTTGGATCTTTTACTACCATCTCTTAAGAACATTTATCATTCTCTTACAAGGTGGGGTTTAGAGAAAGATATCAAAGTGTCAGCTGCTTTCTCTTCTAGTTGTTTGCACCAAAACTCTGCTCTTTTTAGTGATGATTTGACTGAGAAGGTCATCAGACCTCTGCTGGAGTTCCTCCAAAATACAAACTCTACATACTCCATCACCCCTCCTCCAAATTTGTCTCCCTTTACACATGAAAGTTTGACTTCACTAACTTCCCACCTGGATTTCATGAAAAGGTTTGGATCTTTTGACCTTACAAAGGTCAATTTGATAGTCTCTAGTCAACAAGAAAAAACCCCCAGGAGCAGGAAGCTCTCAGTGGTGGACTCCAAGCTTGTAAAACCCTACCCAGCTAGGCCAACCCCTTTGCCAGAAATCTCTACTTCCTCACATTCATCTATTGGCTTCTCTGTGCCTGCCAATGTAGCCAAAAAGCCACATCCCCCACAATACCCTACTTCTCCACCTCCAGTTTCCTTCCCTAGTGGTTCTTCACCACCTCCAGTTTCCTTCCCTAATGGTTCTCCACCACCATTTTCCTTCCCCATTGCTCCAGAGCTGCCTCCACCCTCTGTTCCCGCCAGCTCACCTGACGGTTTCTCCTTGCCTCCTTGTAATCCAATTGATAACACAGCACCAGCACCAGCACCAGAGACAGGGGTGGTCCAAAAGCTGTGGTGTGTGGCTAAGCCTAGTGTTCCTGCTGAGACTCTACAGGAAGCAATGGACTATGCTTGTGGTGAAGGTGGTGGTGATTGTCAAGAGATTATGCCTCATGGGAGCTGTTTCTATCCAGATACCGTTGTTGCTCATGCTTCTTATGCTTTCAATAGCTATTGGCAGAAGACCAAGAGAGATGGAGGAACTTGCAATTTTGGAGGCACTGCTATGATCATCAATGCTGACCCAAGTAATTACCATTACTAAAACTTTGCTCATTAAAGTTTTTGCTCTCTTGCCTTGCTTTCTTTGGAGTGTTTTTAATTACAATGTGGCTTAATGTTTGTTTCAGGTTTTCTTCAGTGTCGGTTTGTTCTTAGCTGAACAATGGAGAATGTTGGGTTTGTTTCAGTACAAAGTAGGATTTGTGGGGTCTAATTGCAAGGTGAATTTGTCTGCTTTTCTCTTTAGTCTTAGTGATTAGTTCAGTAGAACGCATGCAGCAGGTAGGACTTAAAAATTTTGTTTCTCTGTAACTACTGTAGTAATGGGGTATCCTATGCAAAAATTTGCAAAAGACTTTTGACTCTGATTCTATATAGATATTGCCCTTTAGCTTTAATTATGTCTATCTTTGTTTGATCGCTTCACTTTTATTTTTATCTTTTTGCTGGACTTTCCAAGAAAATAGTTCCTGGTATTTTTCCATTTCTTAGTAGGAATGCTTATGTGAAGGGATTCCAACTTTACTCAACCAAAGTTTATATGTTCATCAAGTTGCAAAAATTGGGTGATGTTCAGTAATTAATGTTGGCCATCGAATAATTCTTGAAATTCCTAGATAGCAGTAGAAGAAACCTGTGAAGCTGATGCGAACGGGTGCTTTCATAGCTATAACAATGTCAATGCGTATCTATCTCCTATTCTCATTCATTCGTTCATGAAAGCTTATGTGAGTTTTCACAATGAGACAAGATTGGATTTCTGAATCTTCAGTCATTCTCGATGTGATCAATCCAACAATATTGAAGGTCATAAAGAGGGTTCCTTCATAAAATAAATGCAAATTATTTTTTTCATTTGAACTATAAATTTTATTGATGGGCTTTGAAAGTTGAAACCAATATGAGAAACTGAAGTCTCCATTAGCTGTGTAAGATTGTGAGAGGATTCAGAGTTTTCACCTTTCAATTCATCTATAATGGAGCTTTTGGACAACTTGGACATGGAAATATGAGACCAACAACTCCAGAAATGTTGTTGGGCGGCTCATAAATTGGTAGGATTTTGATCCCGGGACCCTGGGTAATGGGCCCATCACGCTTCTGCTGGGCCACTATGATTGCTGGCACTGCAGCATTTCCAAATTCCTTTAATGTGTGTAAACACCTAAGTCTAGACTAGAGCAGTAGCTTGCAGGGCAAGCCGCTGCAAGCAGCTTCGCCCTTCATAGAGACTTCTTCGCCACTTGAACCGTGATTCGCAAGTTGCAAGTTACAGTGGAGTAATTTTACGATTGTACCAACACAAACCCTTTACGGTGAACTATCCGGCAGTTTGGATCTATACCTTCTTTGGTTTTCGCGTAATAGTTCATACTTCCATAACCAGCCCATTGTATTTTTCCCTAAATGTTTCTTCTTTCTAATTTGGTGCCACTTAAATTTTGGACATTGAAAATTTCTTTTGAAAGAAAAAACTTCCAGAAGTTTGCTTTGGATACTTTAGCCCAACCTAAAGACAATGAAGTCCCTAATTAATAATTCCCATACAGTGGCCGTCCAAGAAAACTGGAAAATCGAAATTTTAAGTAGTTGGGCTTTCAGGTTCTAGACGAAGACCCTCTCCACTCCATAACAACGGTGGAAATCAACCTAAATTCAATTAACATGGGCTGTATTTGCAGAGCCATGATCAGACCTTCCACAAGAAAAGTAAAAGATGAGAAGGCAGAACCAGCAGCAACCGTTAGGGATTGATGACTGCCCTGCCATCTTTGGTTGATACTCGCTCAGTCTAGCATTGGAAAGGATTCAAGTTCTGAACACAAGAGATACATCGTCCGTCAGATTACCAACCTGATTCACAAAGTTATCCAAATTCATATCCAAAGGATAAATTTGCTTTCCTTCTACAAAACGTACATTCCTCGAGTAATCTTAAAAGAACCAGCAAAATAAGAGAAAAATACCCAAAACACTTTCAAAATGGTTTACAGAGTTTAGATCAAGGTACATATCAGCGTATAATTTATGAACAAATTGCCTATCAAATGCTTAATTTCAGTTGGCAAATCATTCAATTGACAAGTGAATTGTTAATAACCCAACTCGAAGAGGGAGGAGGGGGAGAGGAAACTCTTTACACTAAATCCAAAAAAAGTGTTCGGAGTTCATGATTGAGATATGCTTGAACAAGCATTCTCACTACTGTGTCTCGCTCGTCGTACAAACTAAAGCAGTGGAATTCCCCGCTTCATCATCTTCATTGCATATTGGACCAACGATAGCAGTGGAATGCTCTATTTCCTTAGTATCTGAATTTTCGTACTGTCACAAGAAAAACCAATTAAAACAAGGGGAATGCGAATGAACCAACCCTCGCATATAATGCCATATAATTCGACTAAAAATTCAATGAAATAATATATATACATATATATATATTTATATAATACCTTTTTATTTAGACCTTGAGCCTCCATAAGTTCATAAAATTTACGCATCAACATCTCTTCCTCCACCTACAACGGTAAAGAACTTTATAATCTCTTTTCTTTCGAGTAATTGTGATTAAACGAAGGAAAAGAAAAAAGGGGGAATTAGAAAATAACCTGAAGTTTATGCAATTCGTGAGAAATTAATGAATGGGATTCTGTAAGCAGCTCATTCTGCCTCTCCAAGTGCCTGCCAATTATAAATTAAAACAAACAAGATTTCAATTTTAAACCAAGTTTAATTTTCAAAAAAAGAAAAGAAAAGTAAATAAATTTGATTCAAGTTTACTTGAGTATCTCCCCGGTGTATCGCGGATCCATATGACAACTGGAGCTTCAATTTCCAGAAAAGTGAATCGAAAAGTCTAAAAAATTTCAAGAGAACAACTACTACAAATTTGGATTTTGGTTTTTTGGAATTAAAAGGGTAAAGAAATACCAAGAAATACAATAAAAAAAAATACCGCTCGCGGGCTTAAGAAATATTGCGGAAAGCGAAAGGGACGGGAAGATTTATACTTTACAGGGAGAAGAGAAGGAGAAACTAAAACCGACGTCGTTTGATGTGGTGATATTAAAAGAAGAGCAATTCGGCAATATAGTTGGAAATCCAGGCCCACTGGGAAAGGCCTGGTAACATATGGAGGCCGAACTAATAGTAAAGAAGGAATAAACTTTAATATAAATAATTTTTGACATAATATCTTGAAAAAATCTTAAATTGTTTAATAAAATTTAAATAAGATTTTAATCTTTTATTGCATTCAATAAAACTTTTATGTTATTATTTTAATTTAATAAACTTTTTAAATTAATGATTAACTTAATTAAAATTTTATTTGTTATTTTATATCATGTGACGTTGATGTGATATATTGATATATCATTAATAAATAATAATATGATATGTTTTTATGATATGATAATATGATATTATAATTTTTTCACTCTCCACATCAACATGCTTAGATATAAAATAACAAATAGTATTTTAATTAATTATAATTAATTAATCATTAATCATAAAGATTTATTTGATTTGAAATAAAAATATAAGGAGTTCAATTATAGAGACTCAATTGAATTTTAAAAAAGAGTTTATTTAAATTTTCTTAAGAAGTTCAAACTTTTTTTGAGTATTACGTCATAATTTTTTTAATAATTTTTTTCAAAAGTAAAAATTAGATAATACATGATTAATTAGTAAAATTAATAGAACAAGTGTGACTAGAATTCTAATATTTCTTTACATAATAATAATTCACATGTAACTTTACTATTGAATCTTAAAATTTACCATGCAATAATACCAAAATTTGCACTCTTTTTTTATAATCAAAAGTTAAGCTGAGTAATTTTTAAAAATCGATAAATTTAATTAAGTGGTCTCTTACACTCAGAATTAAAAAGTTTGCTAATAAATCCCTAAATTGGGGTTAAAATTTTGGATAAGTTATTTTTGAATTTAAATAATTTGAGATGATATTTAAGAATCGAAACGATCGCATTATAATAAAATACCTAATTCAATTTATTTTACGTCATAACCCAGTCGGTGGGGTTCTCGAGTTTATTCGATCCATGTTGAACACTTGGGCCCTAGTTTGTCATAAATGCAATTGGCCCAAAGCAACTTGATATTAATTTTTCATTGCACCATCTGGACCCTTATGTTGCGACATCGTGGGTTCTCCAGCCAGGTTGTTTTAGCACACTTTATTTACTCAACCGTTTGCTGTATGCCCCAGCCGAGGTCGTTTCTGTTTCGGTACTGTCATATGATGGCTGCCATCTGGTGCAGTACTAGAACAAGTAAGAGAATAACGTGGCCGGCCATGATCTGAACGATTAAACTCGTCGGCAACAACCAACAATATTGACTTAGTCACTCGGCTCACTAGCTGTATAAGCCAGTGTTAATGAGAAAAAATAAATAAACCCTCAAAAAAACAAAGCAGAAACAAATATATATTACGCGTCTTGAGTCATGGCAAAGGTTTGAGTAAACTACAGTCCCTTTCAGACGTCGTTTGAATACGAAGAACTGGTATTCCTTTCATACGTCAAGAGTTGGAATACATTTTCATACTTTTCTTCTAGCAATAAAATGGTTTTGTTGGCTTTTTACAATGGCCTTTGACTTTTCTCTTGCTATCTACTTGGGAAGATCCTCTTTTGAGATTGGATAGATATCTTAGTTTATCATGTAAGGCAATTTATTTTTGTTGTTGTTAATTACGTTTCACTGATTTTGAGTGCAATTCGGCGACTGGTTTGCATGACTTTAATTAATGAGATGAGGACCGGGGTTAAGCAAGTTTTCATTCGAGTGAAATGCTTGGAAATTGTTCTGGCCACGTCTCATCACGTTTGTGCTGGAATAAGCTTACCCGATCCTGGAGTTGGGCTGAGCTAATAAGTGTCACGGTTAGTGGTCCACGTCGAGCAGCTAGCCTACCCATTTCTCCATTTCTCGTGGGTCGCTGCAATGGCCCCGATCATCACTCACTGGCCGATGGACACGTGGGCTAGACAGAAGGACCCATGTAATTTCCAGAAGACTCACCAACCAGCAAAGTCGCAGCCGCGGTCACCAAGTGACACGCCGCACAATCAATATCAGATCAGACCCCGGAAAAACGAAAGTCAAGTTCCCACTTCACTCTGGCAAACGATGGTGCAAACGCTAAACACACCCATCAGAGGATTTTCTATATATATATATATATATAGAAAGAAAAAGTGCGAATGAGATACTGATATTACATTTCCGGCCTTCTCCCATGATTCCACTACACAATTTTCCATCGTACAAAAATAATTTAAAATGAAATATAATTATGTGGATCTGGAAATGCATTCACTTGTCCGATTTTGGGTTTTGGAAGTCCAAACTCACCTATTAAAAGTTCCTGTTGAAATCACTGCTATAGCATTGTTGTTTTTACTCGCAAAAGCAAGAAAGTGGAAGAAGAGCAGGTGTTAGTTTTTGACTTGGAAACAGTCAAATACTTAAGTCACACCTTAGCAGACAACCCCAGTTTTTTCACCCCATTGGACATTCCTACAAAGGGCCCATTTACTTTTGTTTATTTAAACCTATAATAACCCACACCAGACTTCACTCCAAAGGACGACCTAATCAGACGTGCAAACATATCTCAGTGTAAACGTTTCTTCAACTGTATGCAAACTCTCCCCCCGCTTTCTCTCCACTCATCAAGCACTTTCCGTCTATCTTCTCTTCTATTGTCTTGCTCCCCATATAAAAATCCCTCCTTCTTGTTCACTCAAACACTCACTCAACCCCAAGAGAAAAACTTTCAAAAACCCCTCTAATATATGGCTCTTGAAATGTTGAATTCCCCTACTTCAGCTCCTCCACTGCTCCACCATGACGATATAGACCTCCACTGTACTGAGCCATGGACGAAGAGGAAAAGAACAAAACGACCCAGAATCGAAAACCCACCAACAGAAGAAGAATACTTAGCTCTTTGCCTTCTTATGCTGGCTCAGGGAACCACTAGCGGAACCAGCCCCTCAGCCGCAGCCAAAAACACCCTCAACAATTACAAGTGCACAGTTTGTAACAAAGCATTTCCATCTTATCAAGCTTTAGGAGGACACAAGGCCAGTCACAGGAAACTTGGTGGAGCTGATGAACACCCCACCGCTGCAGTCTCCGCCCCGGCTACCACCACAGCCACGGTGGCTACAAATTCACCTCCCATGAACCAAGGTGGCAAGACTCACACATGTTCAATTTGTTTCAAGATATTTTCTTCGGGTCAAGCCTTAGGAGGGCATAAGCGATGCCACTACGAAGCTGGTAGCAATATTAACAGTAACAGCGGTGATGGTGTTAAATCGTCGAGCCAAAGTCAACGTGACTTTGACTTGAATTTGCCTGCTGGACCAGAGGATCCAAGTATTGACGTTGGCCAAAAAGATAAACTTTCCGGCGACGATGAAGAGGTGGACAGTCCTTCGGCGCAGGCCAAAAGCGGCAGCTACCACGTCTGTTGAATGTCACTGGTGAAGATTAGATTTAGTTTAGACGAATGATTGGAGTGGACTTTGCTGTTTCTTGTTTTTTTTTTTTTTTGCATGATCATCGTTATAATAATTTTTTTTTTTTTGGCTTTTGGGCTGGGACAATGTTGCTTACTGTTGTAGTATTGTTTATGTACATTCGCTTGGTGTAAGTAAGATTAGGAAAATTCTTTTAACGAAATTGTATGGTGTTCAATTTAGATATTGATAAACATTTCAGATGTTTATGTTTTAATTAAAATTATTCAGACCCAAAAAAGAAATTAAAAAAATCCAATATTATTCCAATTTCAACAAAGAGCTTGCATCTTTTTCTATGTAAAGGGAAAAGAAAATAAGAAATTAAATTAAAAGTTTAATGATGAAATTTTAAATATTTTTATGATATTTTATTTCATTTCAGATATGAATGTAATTATTTATATTTAGATAAAACTCCAAATCAATTACTATCAATAACTTATATTTAAATCTTTGAAGATCATAGATTCAAAAAATTGTCAGATCAGTAATGTTTAGACTAATATTGGTACTCACAATAATTTGAAAGAAAAGAAAAAAAGTATTGACTTGTAGTAATGGTCTCATGAAATTCTTTGTCCTAACTAAGAGGATGAGGATAAAAAGGGAAAAACTTGTTGATTTATAGCAATGGTTTCATAAATTCTTTGTCCTAACTAGGAGGATGAGGATAAAAAGAGTTTCTACTAAATATTAAAGTGTAAATATTACTTTTGTAATAGTTAATTTCAATAAGAAAGAATTATGTGATTTTTGTTTATATAACTTAATCCAAATTTAAACCAAAAACAAAAAAGTCATAACCAAAATCCAACCCATCAATCATCCAATGAATAAGTTGACTTCAACCTTAATGGGCATACAAGTTCCATGAGATTTGAGGATAAATGTTTTAACTTTCACGAGTCATATATATATTGGATTCTTGATGTGTATCCAATAAATTTTTTAATTATTATAGACATGTTAAAAATATGGATACCAACTTAATTGGTAAAATTTAAACGGTTCTTTAATTAAGAATTTGTAATTTATTTTAAAATAATTAAGAAATTATAATTGAATAACTTTGTCTTCGTTAAGAATTATATAAATAGTCCTTACACTATCAATTTTTCCATAAAAAAAGTCAAAAATTCATAACTAAGTATTGCCATTAAAGGATTTTATTCTCATTACCTAAAATTCAAGTAATTAGGTGTTAGCTAAAGGCCAAACCTGCCAATAAAAATAGTTGGGCATGGAAACAGATAAACTGATCCGTATAATGATCACAAGCTAGCCATGTGATCCTTTTGTTTTTCCTTTTTATTTGGTAAAAAACCATGTGATCTTTTTGATCCCAACAAAGAAAAGAAATCCTTAATATCCCCTAAGCCTTTAAGGAGGAAGGAACAGGAA